AAATGAATGTTTTCTCATAGACTAAGTGTTCGTTAGTTTCCTGATTATGCTGGAAGAAGAAACCACTATTTCATGGTCAGCATGGAATATTACATTTCATTCTACATAAGGGAATCTGTTAATGACTAAAGTGAATTCAGTGGGTGAATAAACTCAGCGTTCTTTGAATCAGTAAACCAGACATCTGTGACAATCATTTTAACAAGCTTTACGTATATTTTTCATGGTTTACTATTATGGTGTAGTTCTCAGAAAGCAGGTAAAACACAATTACAAGGTTGGGTCTGAGGGAAATCTCTGTGCCATAGAAGTATTTACAAAATTGAATTTGATTGTTATATTTTATTTTCTAAAACAATATGTTCAGCTATGTCCTTAAAGTAACATTTTATATCATGAATTAAAATTTATAGTGAACTTGATCTGTGTCTGTCACTTACATTCAGCTTCTTATTAGAATTTAGCTATGAAGATTCAGGAATAAAGAAAAAACTAACATTACAAATACAGAAAAGTGAGTAGTAATTGCAAGCTCCATTCCTTTCCTCCTGATCTAAGATTTTTAATGTCCTCATTTGCTTGTTACTTATAAACATTCTGTTCAGTTGCTTCAGTACAGTACAGTTGCTGTCACCACGATGGACAAGGGACTGTGCTGTGGAGCCGATGGCAGGTGAGTAAGGCGCAGTATCTGCCCTCCGGAAGCTTCTAATGTAGAAGTCGGGGGTATAAAAATTAATCACAAGAAATTAGCTAGATGTCAGAGGTGTTGTAACTAACACTGTTTGGTGCCCCTTTTTTTGTTTCCAGCGTGTTTGCACATGTTACCACATTTGATCCTTTGACAACCCTGTAATTTAAAGAAATACCTGGGACAGGCGGAGGGTAGAGCTCAGTGGTAGAGCACATGCTTAGCATGCACAGGGTCCTGGGTTCAATCCCCAGCACCTCCATTAAAAATAAATAAATCAAACAGATAAATAAACAAATACCTATTATCCCCACTCCCACACGAGGAAAGAAGCAGGAGCGAGTTGCCAGGTAGCTCACACTGATGCTGTGCACAAGGAGAGAGAGACAGGCAGGGCTGGGTCTTGGGCCATCAGTGCCATGAGGGAACCCTTTAGTTTTCATCCTGTGTGCATGGAGAGCCAGTGAAGGACATGTATGTTTATGTAAGCAATTTAGAAGCAGACAAGAAGAAGCAAAAAGAAAATTTAAATCACCTGAAAGCCTACATGTGAAGATAAAATGTCACGTTAATGAGCTTCGTGGTTTTTGCTGTCTACTCTCCAGGCTCCTCTGTGTGCAAGGTCTCTGACCTTGGACCTGACTGGTTCCCAGGAAGTAATCTCAAGGTAACCCATTACAGGCCATACCCTTGAACATGCTGTTTTACAAAGTAGGGCTCCATTTTGGGAAACCACTTTATTCCAGGAAAATGCCAAAGCTGTTAGAAATAAGTGACAATGAATGTAACTGTTACAAAACATTAAGTATATTTATGAAAAAGGTATGTGGAAACTACACAGTAAATGTTCATTTGGGGATGTTTTTCTACATGTTTTTATATCAGGCATCGTGAAGTTTAGCTGGTAATCACCACTCAACTCGTTCAGTAAACATTCACTGAGCATCTTCTATTTTGTTAGATCCTGTGCTAGGTGCTGACTGGGCCTCCCTCCCGAAGCCAGCACAGAGGCACACCAGCTGTGACCTGCTACCTGTTTTGTATGGCCTACAAGCCAAGGATGGTTTTTATAGTTTTAAATGGTTTAAAAATTTTTTTTACCACATGAAAGTTATATGAAATTCAAATTTCAGTGCCCATAAGTAGAATTTCATTGGAACAGAGCCACACTCAGAGCAAGAGAGACTATGGCCTGCAAGCCAGAGAGTCTTCCTCTCTGGCCCTTGATAGAAAAAGTTTGCGGATCCCAGAACCAGTGAAAACACTTCAAGCGTTCCTCACTGCTTGAAGGATGTTTAAATTGCACTGAAATTTAGAGTTAACTCACAGAGTTCCATTGCCACGAGATAAGAACAAATGGATGCTTTGCTTAGACTTGAGAGCTACTGCCCTACACTACCCTTTCTTCTGGATTTCTAGTGTAAATGGCCACACTGGATAAAATAAGGTAAAAAGGTCGATAAGGAAATGGTAGCCACCAGGAAAAGGTGGAACCCTGGGGGGGAGGGGGTGGATAAAGAGGCACTTACGCTGCCCCAGGGCGTTTGTCGTCCATATCTTCTCTTCCGCTTGCCTCCATCATACACTCCAGGAGGTGGGCTGCCAGGGACTGTACTCTTGTCCTCTTCCCTCACACTCTGGCCTCCGCAGATGGCTGGAGGGCAGGAGAAGAGTGAGGTCACCATACTTACAGCCCCAGTCCCCTTCTGGGTAGCCATGAGTTGGCTGCATCTCCTGACCCAAGGCCACAACTCTGGCAGGTGGCCCTTTATCACAGGTTCTGGTGACGCCTTCCTTTCTTGGCCCATCTGTTGTTAGAAGTCTCAGGGCTCTATGCAATCTCTGGCAGTCCTTTATTAAACTCTCTTTACCCAGCTGGAGGGTGCTGTTCCCTCTGGATCTTGTTTGATAGTCTGACAAAGCCATCATGGGCCTTATTTCCCCCGTTTCCCCTTCTTTTAGTCACTTGAGGTTAGTTGGCTTGTTTAAAGTCCTTGGAATGAACCAAGCTCTTTGCTGCTTCAGGACCTTTGCCTGAGGATCTGCTTCAAGCGCTCTTCCTCCTATTCTTAGCCTGGCTGACTACATGTCTTGGTGAAGATGTTCTTTCCTCTCAGAGACCTTCATCAATCTTCCCCAAAATTAGGTACTCCAGTCATTCTCTGTCAGACACTCTGCTCTTTTCTTCCATAGTACACATTCATACTACATTTGAAGTTGTGTACGTAAATTTGTGTTCATTTGTTCAGTACCTGTCTTTCTCATTGGCCTGTGATCTCCAAGAGGGCAGGGCCCATGTCTGATTTATTTACAGTTAATAAACCTTAGCACTTAGCACATAGCCTGGCACATGGTAGGGACTCAATAAGTCCAGAATGAATGAGTGACTCATCGTGTTGTGTATTCACCAGCCTTCAGTATTCATACTCAATAGTCAGACTAAAGGGAAGTTCCTTTGAACACAAAGGTGCTGGCGAGTTGCTCCAGCTCCTGCAAATAGCAACTTTTATAACTGGATGGTGGGCAAACTACTAACCAGTCCATCAAAGCCCAAGAACAGATTTTTACTCCACAAATACCTTCTTAGACACAGCTACTCTCATACCCCGTTCCCTGGGTAAGAATGAGACAAGGGGGAAATGCACTGGGCTATAAAAGCTATGACTCAAAGATGAGGTGCAACTTTGGGTTATAAACCCAAGGGGAAGGAGCAAAGCGGCTTCCCTGTGTGACTTTGATGAGCTGACTGCCCAGATGCTGCTAATGTGCACAAAAGAATGGCTTTCCTGGGTAAACACCAACAACTGACAGCCATATTGTGGTCTCCCACATATGCACATGACAGTGTTTACTTAAGGATTCTTTATTTCAACAAATATTTAATGAAAGTCTATGCACCTGTTACGGTGTGCACAAAGGTAACAGCTGTTAAGACCTTCAAAAGGAGCTATGTGAGAGACAATTATGTAAACAACTATCATGCAGAATAAAAATATTATAAATAGCCCACTGGTAGGGGCACAGGGGGCAAAGGATAAAGGGATACCTCCCTGTGGAGGGCTTCACTGAGAGGGCAGCACTGAAGGAAGATTTGATGTAAGAGGCAGATGCTTGCGGGCAATGTGGGAGGGACGGCAGTCCAGGCAAAAGAAGTAAGTGCAAGGGCACTGGAAAGGGATGTGGGTTTTTCATTCTTGGAATGTCAAGTTCAAGTGAGAAGTGTTGCAAGTAGAGGAAGGACAGAAAAGGCAGCCAGAGTTAAATCGTCAAGACCTTCTGTGGGAGCTTAGCAAATTACATATGGGCAACGGTCGCCTACCAGAGCATTTAGAAGCCCAAGAGCAGCTTCTGGTTTGCCTTAATTCAGGATGTTGGCGGTGTTGTAAGACTAGATAGAGGCAAGGAGACCAAAGAAAAGAGGCTAAAAGTTGTGGGGGGGGGGGTGGCGAAGGGAAAAGGTGAGCACCTGAATCAGTGTAGAGACAGTGCAAATGTAGTTTCTACTAGAAATACTCAGGAGAACAATGTACCAGGACGCTACAGCGGACGTTAAGTGTGTAGAATGACTCTAGGAAAGAGCTCTTCTTTTTGCCTTGGGCAATTGGCCAGTTTTACCATTGTCAGTTTTACCAAATGGGGCAGGTGTCCTAAAGGAAAACATGAGTTCAGCTTTTAACGAGTGAATCGTTAAGAGTCTGCAGGACATCGGGTGAAAGCAACCACTACGGAGCTGTCAGAAGCCTGTGGGTTTTGAGCAGGATCTGAGTTAAAGATACGGACTTGTGGCATCACTTGCATGGATGAGGCTGTGCAGAGTTGAGTGGGAAAATATCTAGACAATGATATATATAACACTGAGTGTGAAAACCGCTGTCAGCTTTAGTTTTTCTCCCTCCTCAGCTTGGACCAGGGAACGAAAACTTTTCATTTCCCCAGAGGCTCTGGGAAGAGCAGCGTACACAGGCTTTGCGTTCAAGCTACTGGAGGGCCAGTCCCGCCAGCCGGATTGGAGATGGGGACGTGGGTTTTCTGGTTTCACTTTCCTGGGAACTCCGGACTCCTGCCGCTTCAGTCTGGGGTCCACCTGCCACAGGCCTCTGGGCCCCTCCAGGGACCAGCGTCTCGACCACGCCCCACGGCCAGGCGCCGCGCTTTGACGTCATCACACCGCACCCTCCCCCTTTACGCTGCCGCCCGACCACGCCCCACGGCCCGGCGCTACACTTTGACGTAATCACAAAGCGCCACTACTTCCCGGTAGCCTACCGCTCCGACCACGCCCCACGGCTCGGCGCTGCACTTTGACGTCATCACCGCGCATCTTCCCGCCCCTTGGGTGTTCAAGCGACGCGCGCCGGCCGCGCTGCATCCCGGAGTTGGAGCGTGCGTTCCTTTTCTTCTCTCCCTTGCGTCATGTTCCCGGCCGTCTCTTCTCCGCGGACCCCGGGACCCGGAGCCCGAAGGGGGCCTCTGGGCGGAGTCGGGCCTGGCTCCACGCCCCGATCGACAAGCAGGAAGGGCCTGGCCCTGGGGTCTGTAGTGAGCTCCCCGGCGCTCTTCTCGCCGGTCGGCCGTCGTAGCTCGCTGAGCTCGCGGTAAGTGCTCGTCCCAGGTTGGGTCACGGGCCTCCGGAACCCGCCGGAACCCGGGACGGCGCCGAGAATTACGGAGTGTTAGTGAAATAGACCTCCGCCACCCTTGCGTGTTGTTATTTCATCCTCTCTGATTAGCTGAATCTTCGCGTTCCACTTTTCATGAGATTACCTTTGTGTAGAGCTGAAGAACAAATTGGGTTTGGATTAGTGGTTACCTGCCTCACTCTTAGTACCCCTGTGATCTTGAGTAGGTCACTCATGACTCTTCATCTATGAAATGGCGAGGATACCTGACAGAAGCCTGCCAAAGGAGTCAACGTGAAATGCCTTGATGCAGTTGTAAAGTGATGATGGGAAAGAGGACCTCAAACCCTGCAAAGTCACGTATACCTAACATACTAACTGCCATTCTGCCATTAATACCTGCTGATTGATAAGGAAAGAGATTTTAGCTACGGAAGTTAACTTTGGAGCTAAATTAATAGGGAAAAGTCTTTCTATAATGAGTGAGATAAGGATAGTAGTTTTGTTACAAATAAAAGCGTGGCCCAACCAGTCTACATCATTCGGGAAACCATGCTTGTCGTCTACTCTTTCATAATTAATCTAGATATTAGAAGGAGCTAACATGTTTCTTGAGTGGTTTCCTTTGAATTCCTCTATCAAAAATGAATTCTCCACAAGGAACTATATTCAGTATCTTGTAGTAACTTATGCTGAAAAAGAATATGAAAACAAAATGTATGTTCATGTATGACTGACGTATTATGCTGTGCACCACAACACAATGACACAAACATTGTGAACTGAGTCTGCTTCAATTAAAGAATACTGATATGTACACACAAAGGAAAAATGAATTCTCTTCTGCAAGAAAATGGTAATGTTGGGTTTTGAACTTATAATTAAGGTGTATATAGAAGTTAGCAATACTTTAAAGGAGAAATGATTTTTTAAGAAATACACTATCCTTGGCTTCTGCATTTTGTAACGTGTTCTTCAAATGGTGGTCTTGTCATTGTTTTCTACTCGTTTTGAGAAAAGTCAGTGGATAAAAGGCATACTTTAAAAACTTGTTTTCTTCTTACTTTTCGATAATTTAAAGAAAAACCTTTGTTACAATACTGTCAGGAAACAGTGCTCTCATCCACTCTGTATGTGCATCTCATTTAAAAGATAGGATAATTTTTATACTAATAAATTTACATTGTTTCTCTGAATGTTAAGAGGAAAGTGAGAAGGAAACGTAATTTCTACTGCTATATCTGTTATTGAAGACCAGGTAATAGCACGTACTCATAATTCTATTTAATTTCTTTTTTGATTGTGTAGATCTAGTAGATTCTTATAATTCTACATCTGATGAGAGCTTAGAGATAATCTAACCCAATGCTTATAAAACTTTTCTGACCACAGTGTATGTATGATAGACTATATTCTGTTTTATTTTTCCAAAATGTTGATTGAGACCCTCAAAATGACCCATAATTTGAAGAACACTGATCTGTTCCAGTCTTCTTATTTCACAGCTAAGGAGGGAGAGTTGTAAAGAGCCTAAGTGAACAGATCATGCGTCTAATTACTAGAGCATAAGAGTCTGAAGCCAAGTTTTCCTGAATCCTATCAGTCTTTTTTTAATGAAAAATAAATTTAATTACCCAATGTACAAGAGGCGGAGTTTTTTTTTTCACTGTTATACTTTGTCTTTCTTCTTGTTTATCAAAGAACTTTTCTTTATTGTGAAAATATATACATAAAAATTATAATGGATAATGGAAAATTTTAAGTTCCAGGCGAGATAACATGATCTCATTTCTTTAGAGGAACACCTACACGGATCTTCCCACACCACTCCATAACTGAGTCTGTGAACTATGATGTGAAAACGTTTGGCTCTTCTCTCCCTGTTAAAATCATGGAAGCCCTAACATTGACTGAAGGTGGGTGTCATTTTCCCTTTGCCTCTATTAGCAATTAAAAACGGAGCCTAGGTCTGGCATCGAGATTGAAATTTGTGCTTTCTCTGGTATATCCTCACGTAAATGGGGTAGAAATAGGTAGCCTATTTGGTTTTCACTGTAATTAATTGTGAAATATGATACATTTGAGAAGCAGAATGAATTCATTTTAGCACAATTCATATACGCGTTTGTGGTTGTAAATACTGTATATGCAAAACTCGGTCCAGTTTCAAAAGTTGATGGAGTTTATTATGTTTAGCTTTTTAAAAAAATCCAAAAAACTATTGCCTCACATTATTTGGTTTAATAATACAGTAAAGTCAAGTCTTACCTCCATTTCTGGATCCTCTGTAGTGTCCCAGAGGCTCTATGCATGAATATATGTTATCGGTTTGGTGTGCCATTAGAAGATTCTCTTGGCAGAGAATTAGAGTGGAAGCTTGGGAGGTGCAGTCAACACAGGCTTCAGAAAGTTGATGTTAAGGATTAGTTGGGGTGACTAGAAAACAGAGTTCAGTGCAGCCTGTGATCTTCTGGAACAGTGTTTTTCAAACTGCAGACAGTGATTGAAGTCAGTTTAGTGGTTCATGAACAGCATTTTTAAAAAATGAAATAAAATAGGTTGTAAAATATCAAAGTGCTTCTCATTGTGTTTGTTTTATTTAAATTGCATGTGAATGCATCATGACATAAAATGTCTTTCATTACTATGAATGACAGTCAGAAAAGTTTAAAGTGCTGCATTCTACAAGAAGGAATATTTCTCATCAGTCTGAACTAGCACATCTTGCCTATAAGTCTAGGAGCTTCAGGTATAGTTGTTTCCAGACACCTAAACTTCCACTAACCTCTGTCATCCATTGTTCCTGCTTTACATACATATTGTATTTTATTATCCTCTAACAATTTCAGCTTAGATTGCATTTGAACCTTTTGACATACTCCTGGTTCATGCCACCAGATCATGTTAGCAACAAATAGTACACAGCGTCAGGAGAGAGCATCTAGAAATCAGGATGTGTAAACTGAAGAAGTGTGTAAACTTGAGAATTGTTCCCCACGTGGAGTCGAGCTGGGGTCCTCAAGGATTCACCAGTAGAGGATTTGGAGCAGCTGTAGTGCTTTCAGGAAAAGAAAATACTGAGCAGATAATCCAGTTCAGCAGAAAGCCCGCATTTAGCCTATGTGTGGGTTTGATGTTTTAGCTTGTACATTGTCAGTGCCTTTCATTTTGCCCCTCTAGCCTACCCTTAAGCGAAGAGCAAAGCTCAAGTTAGTTAAATTTTAGGACTGTTAACACATTTATGCAGGTTTACCACCAACACGTACAACAACCATAGAGTAGTCTTCTTTTATCCATGGGGATCTCTTCCAAGACCCCTAGGGGATACCCAAAACCACGGTTCGCACCAAACCCTGTGTATACTGTGATTTTTCCTGCACGTACTCGTGGAAAGTTTAATTTTTATAAATTAAACTTATAAAATCTGCTCAATAAGAGAATATTTATAAATTTATAAAATCTACACACTAGGAGAATATCCAAATTGCCAGCATCACTTCTCTGTGCTTTATGGCCATTTTTAAGTAAAGTGAGCATTACTTGAACACAAGCACTGTGATACTGTGCCAGTGAATCTCATCACCTAGACTGCTACCCAGTGACTAATGGGAGGGGCTGGGCATGGTGTGGATACCCTCCCCATCAGAATGCAGCAGGGCAGTGCAAGGTTTCATCACAGACTTATGAATTGTTTACTTCTGGAATTTTCCATTTAACATTTTGGACCACAGTTGACTATGGGTAACTGAAACCATGAAAAGTGTACCACAGATGAGGAGGGACTGCTGTATACTTACTTAGTTTTATCATTTTGTGCGGAATGTTACCCTTTATGTTGCCATATAATGAAGTAATTTATCATACTTTCAAAGGGCTCTTATTTGAAAAGCTTGTTCTTTTAAAGGAACATGATTTTTTCCTTGAAATATTTTCTTTATTTAATGAGAGGGTTTATTATTTGTGTTGCTTTATCAAGATAAAATTACAAATGTTACTAAATGTTATAAAAAGTAAGATACCTGTTTACAACAAAAGTAAGAAATATTAAACCTAGGCTCAAAATCTACTCTTTGTGTTAGATATATTTCTATAAGTGGTTATCAAAGTTAAATAAATCTCTTGCTTTGGATATTAGTAACTGTTGAACTATTCAAGAGTATTTTTCATTGTGAATTAATCTCTTGCATGTCTGGTGATTACTTTTTTTTTGGTGAGGAATCTGGCAATAAAGAAGATTTTAGTATGAGGAATTTTAACAGTTTTTCTTACCTGTGCCTCGCTTGTTTTCTTTAGTTGATGATCAGCTGACTGTTCACATAGACGAAGGTGGATGGGCCTGTCTGGTCTGCAAAGAGAAACTCATTATTTGGAAGATTGCTCTGTCACCTATTACGAAGGTAATGGTTCTTTAGAGAGCTGGAAGGAGATAGAAGATTCCTAATTGGCTGTTAATTTTCACCCTAAATTTTTAGAGTGGATAGAGGACAGTAATTTGAATCTACTGAAGCATTATGGATTTGCATGTTTATAGTAAGATGAAATACTGAGCCTGCATACACATTTGTGTGTTGGGAAAAAAAGTTTCTCCCTTTATAATAATTTTAAACAAGATCCATTTTATTTACATTTGATAAAATTAGAGATATTGACATCTTTAATGAATGCATGCTAATCAGTCTGCTTAATGAAGTCTAAGACTAAATGAGCTGAGTTTATTTCTAAGAAAATAGGAATGTCTTTCACTGAATCTTTTTTTTTTAATTGGGATCATATCTGATATATTATTTTATATCCTGTTTTTCTCACTGTATATATTGTGAACTTTTTCCATGCATTAAATATTTCTACAGCAACATTCTACATAGTTGCATGGTATTTCACTGTGTGAATTGTTTTTTTGGTCTTATTTTTTTTAATTGAAGTGTAGTCAGTTTATAATGTTGTGTCACTGAATCTCTTGGATGATGCTTAATAAAATAGGAAAAAAATGATATCAATTTTACAAGTGCTAGTTTAACTTTCAGTTGTCAGCTTCTCACCTAGGGCTTGTCATTTGTGTGTCTACATACCCTCGGCATCCTCTTTTCGTGTGTGCTCCAGATCAGGCATTGTCTCTTGCACTGCCTGTTCCACTGGGATTTGGGCTCCTGCTTACCTAAATCCTTCGTGTCTGCTGGCCTCTGCACTGTTGCCGCAGAGAGAGCAGTGTCTGTGGTCAGGAGCACAGGTGAGGGAGGAGTCCTGCGGGGGCATCCGGAGTTAGCAGAGGAGGCCTGATGTGTGACTGAGTCTAAGAAATGTTTTCTAGGCAGCTTGGTACACTTACTCTGCAGTGAAGCTGACTTTAAATGTCAAGTAAACAGATCAGGATTAAACTGGGAAGATTCCTTTGGAAGCCAACACACTTCTTTCAGCCAGTGGGCTTTTTTGGTCCAGGAAGAGATGGGCTAGTTGATATTTAAGGTCTCGTTTAGCTGTTGTTTTCCTGATTCTGTATCTCCTAAAAATTTTTTTCAGTTTTTTTTTTTTTGGTTGGTGGAGGGAGGTAATCAGGTTTTTATGTGTTTATTTATTTGTTTATTATTTTCTTTAATGGAGGTGCTGGGGATTGAACCCAGGACCTCGTGCATGCTAGGCATGCACTCTACCGCTGTGCTACACACCCTCCCCCAAAATATTTTGTTTTGAATTCACTGAAAATGATGATGTAAGCCTGATCAAAAAGATGTGAGAAGAAAGAATATCTGTAGAATGGTATTTCCAAGAATGAATTAGAATCTAAAGTATGCAGAGAAAGGAAATAGTGAAGTCAGATGCATATTCAAAAAATTGGATTTGAAAAGAAAAAATAAAATAAAAAACTAAAAAGAAAAAATAGATTTGCTATGAAAGATTGTTTTGTTTGGCTCTGTTCTATAGTTATCTGTTTGCAAAGAACTTCAGCTGCCGCCTAGTGATTCCCACTGGAGTGCTGACTTGGTGGCTCTCTCTTACTCTGCTACCTCAGGTGAAACACTTTCCACTCAGGTAGGTGACTTACATGCTTAACTGAAATACATTTTTTTTTTTAAATAAGGGAGTTCTAAAGTTGGAGGAATCATCCAACCTGATTCTGAGATATAACTATAAAGCTGCAGGAATCAAGACAGTAGTAATGGCAAAGAGATGGACACACAGGGCAAACGGAGTAGAGAGGACAGATATAGACCCACACGGAGATGGCCCTGTGTCTTTGACAGAGGTGCAGACGCAGTTCAGTGGAGCAAGGATGCTCTTTTCAGTAAATGGTATTGAAATCATTGGCCATCCTTATGCAAAAAGAAAAAAATTCTTCTAAACCTCGTATGTTATATAACGATTAACCCAAAATGGATCATAGAGCTAAATGTAAAATGTAAAACTAAAAAGTTTATAGAAGAAAACAGGAAAAAAATCGTCGTGACCTGGGGTTAGGTTACGAGTCCTTAGAAATCACCAAAAGCATGATTCATATTGGACTTCATCGTAATTTAAAATTTGGCTCTGCCAAAGACAGTGATAACAAAATGAAGAGAGAACTACAGACGGGTAGAAAATATTGTAAGTCATGCATCCAGCAAAGGGCTTGTATCCAGAGCATGAAAAGAACTCTCAGAGCTTATTAAAACAAACCACCCAATTTAAAAATAGGTCATAGGACTGGAACAGACACTTTACCAAAGAGGATATAAGGATGTCAAACAAGCACATGAAGAGATGTTCGCATCATTAGCCATGAGGGAAATGCAAATTAAAACAAGTGAGGTCCCACTACACGCCCATCACAGTGGCTAACATGAAAAATACTGACACTACCAAGTGCTGACAAGGATGTGCAGCAACTGGAACCCCATACAGTGCTGATGAGAATGCAGGATGGGACACTACTTGATGTTCTCTTCCTTATAAAATTAAAATACACTTGCCATGTGACCCAACAATTCCATTCCTGGCTATTTAGAGAAATGAAGGCTTATGTTTGCACAAAAACCAACACACTAATGTCATAGCAGCTTTGACAGCCAATGGTGGAACCAGTCCAGATACCCTTTAACAAGTGAATACACAAACTGGGTCATCCACAGAATGGAATATTACTCAGCAGTGAACAGATGTGAGCTACTGGTATATGCAGTAGCCTGGATGAATTTCAAAGACATTATGTTAAGTGGGATAAGCCAGTGTCAGAAGGTTATATTTTATATGATTTCATTTGTTTGGCATTTTTGGAAAGACAGAACCATAATGATAGAAATAGTGGTTGACTATAAAGGGAAAGCACAAGGGAGTTTTGGGTGTTGTTGGGGCTGTTCTGTACCCTTACTGTGGCAGTAGTTACGTGAGTCTGTGCGTGTGTTAAAATTCATAGAACTGTACAACAATAGGGGGAAAAGGTCAATTTTGCTATATGGTATTTTTTTTGCATATGAGAGGAAGGACTTTTTATTTCTGATTTCTGTTAATCAATAGTAAATTGCCCTGGTCTCTTTATATCAGCATCATCAGACTCCCCGTTTTGGGGTCCTTCTTTTCTTGTGATTGTTGACCATCGTGGTCCTGTTTCCAGGCTGTTGCCGTCATGATTGCCACCAGAGAAGGATCCATCCGCTACTGGCCGAGCCTTGCCAGTGAAGATACCTACACAGAGACTTCGCTAGATTTGGGAGGTGATAAGACTTACAGCTTCCTAACAGCAGTGCAGGTACACGATGGGTTATAGTTGATTCTTTTATATTAGAAAGCTATGATTTGGCTTGAAAGTGGGATTTGAATGACTAAAAATTCAGGATTTTGAACAGAACATACAGGCTGAGGGGGATGAAAAAAAGTAAGAGAATGGAAGGATCTAGGATTCAAACACACAGAGCGAAGCCCTTCTCCTGGGACTCTGAAATATCTGTGGTGCAAGGAGCCAGTGGTGTGCATTTCTTTCAGAACCATCTTGTGAGAGTGACTTTACAAACTCAGACACTATGCGGAATGGTTTGCCAGTACATACCCTGCAGATTTACCAAAGATCTAAAATCTGATACTTGATTTGTTGATCCTGCAATATGGTGAACCTACAACTTGAACATCAGAACTTAAAAAAAAATGTAATTAAAAAAAACTGCAACAAAGTTTTTCTATGTAGAATTAGTAATATTAAGTCAATATATTCATAAGTAAAGTGTTTTAATAATGATAACAGTTCTTTTTTTATTCTCTTAGATTTGTTTTAAGGTACAAATGATGTCCCTCTGTATCAAAACAGTTTGTGTTAATTTTCTTTTCTTATTCTTACATGCTTAACTAAACTAATTTCACAACATTTGTTCACAGGGAGGAAGTTTTATTTTGTCCTCATCAGGAGGCCAGCTGATTAGGCTGATACCTGAAAGTTTAGGAAAAATTCATCAGCATGTCCTGCCTCAGGGGCAAGGCATGCTTTCAGGAATTGGACGGAAGGTTTCTTCTCTTCTGGGAATTCTATCTCCTAGTAGTGATCTCATGGTAAGTGGATAAAATGACTGGTTCACACGCTTCTTTCTTAGTGAAATCAGGTTGGAAGTTCCCTGTGAAGCTGTTACTGCCTCTGTGTGAATGGCAGTGTACATGACATGAAACCTTTGATCTTTTCAGTGAAGCGTTTAGATTGTGATGATAAATGAGTTCATACTAACCCTCTGGCATACCCTGTAACATGAATATTCTTAAATCACACAGATGATCTTATGAGTACATGTTTTGAATTAAAACTGCGATGTAAGTGATGAGTGTGGTGAAGGACTGATTTTGCTTTCTGGACTTAACCAGAAGCGTGTCCTCCACTCCCACGACTCCAGCTGTCTGAGTGGGTGGCTCGGATCTGTCCTGGCTGGGCTTCTGCCTCCGTGTCCGGAGCACATGTGGAGCTTCTGCTCTCTGCTGGGTGCCCCGTGTTTGTTACCTCATGGAATTATTAGATGGCCTGTAATGTAGAGAGCTTTCTCTCCAATTCGTAGGGGAAGAGATGGCCTCAGTGAGGCTGCTTAAACTGCCTAAGGTCACAGAACTCCTCAGCGGCACATTCCCGCCCAGGCCTGTTTGAATCAAAAGCGTGTCCTTTTCTTTACTGTGCCATTTCCCTCCAGTTTGAGGTTGCTCTCTGCTTCCTTAAATGGTTCCTTGAACCTAAAACTTACCATGTCTGAAATGAATGGCTCATACTCTCTCCTCTCCTACTGACCACACGTTAAACTACAAAACTTGTTTCTCTTTTGACCTGTCTGTTACTATTGGCACTGCCCCTGTTTTTCAGAGACCCAGGCATAAAACCCTGATTTTTTTTTTTTTGGTGTCTCCTTCTTCTGTAGCAAATTATTTACCAGGTACTGTAGATTTGCCTTCTGTCATCTTGTCTCACTGCCATCCCCATCTTTCTGCTTCCATTGTTACGCCCTAATCTACACGCTTGGTAAATTTCCCCTAAACGTTTAATGCCTGTTGACTTTACTCACTTTTGGCCCCTCCTATCCCATTAGTGGCCAGAGTCATGGGGACAGGAGAAATGGAGACAGTTAGGGTTTGAACTTGATACAGTCATGTATACCCAACTTAAACACATCTGTACTTCAGAAGCAAGTTGTACTTAAAAGACGAAAAAATGTGCCCATGTATAAGTACACACATCCCTGCCAGATTCCTTTTCCTGTAACACAGCCCATGTGTTCGAAAGCCAGTGAGAATATTTCTCTGGCTTAATAGGTTTCTAAACTCACATTCTATACTCTGTGTCCCTCATTTTTCATTTGAATCTTACGTTTGCTTCTTTTCTTGTTATAATCTCAGTTCCAGTAAAGCAGGACTGCTGCTTGTTCTCTGAACACCTTATGACCTCCCCACCTCCCAGCTCTGCTCTTTGTGGACCCTCTGCCCTTATATTTCTGCCTTTTGAAATCCTCCTGACTTTCAAGGTCTGTTTCAGGGTCACTCCTTCCCTTGAATCCTAAATGAAGATGGCTGCTAGGATTACCAATCAAATAGTTGTAAAATAAACATGAATTTTGAACTTCAGAAACATAGTTCATTAACATTAGAATTTAATAACCTGTAAGCTTTTTTCTCCTCTTCATACAGCTTTCAGGTGTCCTCTGGGATAGAGAAAGATCCAGCTTTTATAGCCTGACAAGTTCAAGCATCAGTAAATGGGAATTAGATGATTCTTCAGAAAAACAGGCACATAGTTGGGATGTAAACAGAATCCTGAAGGAGAACGTCACTGATGCCATCTGGGTAAGGAGCGGTGCCACTCATCTCTGCAGCTGGCGCTCATGGCTATATAAGGTTGCTAGCTCCTTTAGTTGCTTTGTGTAGAGCACATGTGAATGTAATATGCAAACAGAAAGCTTTAGCCATCAGACAAGCAGAAATGGAGTGTTCAGTAATTGGAAATTTTGGAACTCACTGCTTTAGTTAGTGTTTCAGAGGCATAGATTATTCATTCAGTAGCTGAGCTGCTGGGGATGATGCACTTCAGAAGGTGCTGGGATATAAAGGTGGAAAGAAATGATTCCTGTGCTCAAGGCGCTTACGTCATTGATGTTTTCATGCAGGGATCTGAAAGTAACTATGAAGCTATTAAAGAAGGGGTCAACATTCGGTACTTGGATTTGAAGCAGAACTGGTAAGCAATTAATTTGTCATAAAGAATAAGGGTAGTTGTTTGGAAAAATAAATTGATGTTTATTATACAGCGATGAGCAAACTTGCTATCTGTTCTTCTTATGCTAATCTCAGACTAGTACACCTTACCAAGTGGTTTTGTGTTATCCAGTGATGCTAATTCATTTGAGAAATATAGGCAGTTCCCAGCCTTCGGCTGTGTATCACGTTAGTTTCTGCCCAGTTAGGGCTTCCTCTCTCCTGCTGTCACAGCTGGAGCCGCTCTTCCCTCACTGCTAACAGATGCCTTCCCTGCTGCTGTGGGGGCCCCGTGCCGTCATCTCCCTCATCTCAGTGGAGATCCCAGGCTCTCTTCGCCAGTGCTTTTTCTGCTGCTGACAGAGCTTTAGTAAACCTGTGTTTGTGGCTGTATTGACTATACAGAGGGTGGAGTGAGGCTTTGTCTTGGCAGCACAAGGTAGAACTCAGTCATGGCTTGTACATAGAATTTCCTCCTAGAGACAGCGCTCTTAAGTGGCACTTAAGGTTCCCAGGTTGGGGGGAGGGTAGAGCTCAGTGGCAGAGCTCATGTTTAGTGTGCACGAGGTCCCCAGGACCTCCCCTAAAAATGAATAAACCTTATTACTTCCTCCCTGCCAAAATTAAAAAAATTAAACAATACAATAATAAATAAATAAATAAGTTTTTAAAAGGATCCCAGGTTAGTCTGATGAAGCTAACTTATCCCATATTATTTAGCTTTGATACCAAAGGTCATAAGGAACTTAGAAACCATTTGTAACATGGCTTCTATGACAGGATTCATAATGAGTACAAATGCATTATTTGTAACTCTTTCAAACACAACTTATCCGAAGTCAAGGATGATTTTTATGTGCTCTAGAGTAATTTAGTAGAACAAGTTCTGTGTTTTTCTGGGAAGGACACTGCAGTTCTGCTGTGTAATTTTTCTCTTGGGCTGTTGAGATTATCAGGATCTTCCCTTACAGTTTCTGAAAACCTTATAAAAACTATCAAAGAGGTAAAAATAATAGTATATATTTTAATTTCCAAAAACAGTTTAACTAAGTACAGTTTATCTTGTTTTCATTTACCTTTAATCAGACTTTCATGAATTTAGAGCTGCTGCCGGGACACTGTGGGCATGTGGCATGGACATTTTTTCCACATTCAGTTTTCAGAATGGAGATATGGGTTGAGAACAGAGAAGAGAAACATGCTTAGGAATTGCTAAACCTAGGTTTTTTTTAAACATAAATATTTTTTTATAAGGGTGTCAAATGAAGCTGGTCCAAGCATCACTCCGTAAGGAACCCTATCTTCCAGCTGTGTCTTCACTACTCAGTGGGCACCTCTTGTCACACAGTGATTCAGTCTTCAGAGTAATTTCAACACAGAGCCTTATAGGTGTGACTGACCTCGCTCGGTTCCTTCTTACGTGCCATCTGTTAGCGCTTTAGGTCACTGCCCGTGTGATCCAGGCTTGGGCCCGTGTCCTTGAGTTCTCAGGAATTCCGGTTGGGGAGCTGGGGGAAGAGAACAGTGAAGGAAAGTGAGAGCCACGTTGGGACTGCTTGATTTGAAGTGGCGGGTCGTTTAGTCACTAGCTTGGTTTACTATTTTTAATTATCAGTAGAGTTTATTGTTTTTAGCTTTGCCACCCTGTTAATATGTCTGAGACTTGAATGAAAGCTGCTGAATGTTTTGGAGGGGTTGAAATTAGGCACCATTTAATTCTATGTTGGGGGCAGCAACTTTGATAGACTTAAGAGGAGCATACAGACTTGAAGGTGGAGAAGGGTTTGTTTTCGCATAAACAGCAGCAGTTCTAGAACTGGTTGTTAAGATTAAAAACAAAACGTTTTTCCTCTGGACAAAAGTAAGCTTTATTTATTTTTGTTTGAGGGGGGTGGCAATTAGGTTTATTTATTTTTGGAGGAGGTACTGGGGATTGAACCCAGGCCCTTGTGCATGCTAAGCATGTGCTCTACCACTGAGCTATACTTTACACCCCGCCCCCCACCCCCAGGTTAGTCTGATGAAGCTAACTTATCCCATGAGTCTGGCTTCTCTCACTTAACGTGATGCATTTGACATTCACTCAGTGGCTTCTTCCTTTTTACTGCTGAGTAGTGGCCTGTTGTATAGGTTTACCAGGGTTTGTTTATCTGTTCAGCAGCTGAAAGATTCCTGTTTCCAGTTCAGGCGATTGTGAGTAAAGCCACTGTAAATGTTCACACACGGGTGTTCATGGGCACACAAGTTTTTCTTTTTCTTGGGTAAATATCTGGGAGTGGGATTGCTAGGTCATATGGTAAAGTGCGTGTTTAACTCTAAAAGAAATGGCCAAGCTGTTTTCTAAAGAGGCATCGTGTCTTTTTTACTGGTTAGTGACGGGCTGCTGATTTTGGCAGCAGCGTGGCACCCCGCAGACAGCCCGTGTCTCATCTACTACTCTCTGGTAACAGTAGAAAACAATGGCCACCAAGTGTCAGACGCAGTCACCGTAGAAGTCACTCAGTATAATCCACCTTTTCAGGTAAGATTCCTGTCGCCAAGTTAAATTACAAACTGACAGTAACTTACTGAGTCTTTTCCTCTGACCATCGCAGGATCAGGTTCTTTGCGAGACTCATCTGCGGGGCTTGGAAACTTACTTCTAATAGCTAGTTTTTAGGTGTTGTGTTCTGTTTGTCATCTCAGCCTCCTTCGTTTGCTCAGCCTTAGCTGAAGAGAGCTGAGAGTGACAGCAGTGAGAGCTGGTTTCTCCTACTGCAATAACTCTGTAAAGGGCATTTTTCTTTCTCTATCATTGAGTAGGAAGGAAATATTGATGATGAACTGCACAGTGAAAAATAAGGAAGACACTTGATGGGAATTGGGCTTTGGTTCTGAGCCCTGTTTATTAGAGAAAAATCCCCATTTTGCTTAGAGGATTACCTGTGTAGGCAGCCACATTATCTACTCAGCAAAGTTCCTGTAAACAATTAAAAGATCTAATTTTAAGCTTCCTAGTAGCAATTAAACATTTTTAATAACTATGATGTTTATGAGGAAAGGCCTTAACTGCTGTTAAGTGATTTCATTTAACCTTGTACAGTACCTAATTCTGTTAAACGCTTACTCTTAACACAACTCATGTAGCTGAATGCTGTAAGGAAATCTTGTAATTTGGTCTTTTATTTGTGATTATACAAGAAGAACATGGTTAGTTCTAAAATTTTTCAGGCAACATGAAATGGTATAAAGAAAACAGTGTAAGAATTAAAACCTCATGGGAGTCCACTTTTAATGTTGTGTTGGTAAAATTCTTTTTAATAACGAGCAGTCTATCCTTTTAGCTTTTGCTGATTTTGTCATTTAATTAGGTCTTATTTCTGTCTCTGTTTCTCATTTCATGTATGAACAGATTAACTCAGTTTTCTTGTGCTTGATATCTGGACAATAAAGTAGAAACTAAATGTTTATCAGGAATCATTTATAAAGTATTTGCCAATTCTAAATTAAATCACAAATTAATTATTTTATTTTCTTTCTCACATTTGTTATAGGCTTTTAGTTAAAATCTTGTGACCATGGAAGTGTTTTCAAAATTTGCTAATTATTTGCAACACAGCAAATGATTTCTATAATTGATGTTTATAAGCTTATTCTGTCATGTTTTATAAATCATCTCATGTTTAGGTTTTCACAAGGACAATCAGTAAATTATTTTTTTGTTTTTATGAGACAGTATTATATAAAAGTGTGCATTATAAAATCATACAAAGAAGTATTTCTGTTTCAATTCTCATTGATTGTAATCTTAAAATTAATTTTTAGTCTGAAGACTTGATTATGTGTCGGTTGCTGGTCCCAAACTTTTCAAACCAGACTGCCTATCTGTATACTGAAAGTGCTGTCTATGTGTGCTCCACTGGAACTGGAAAGTTTTCTCTTCCTCGGGAGAAAATCGTCTTTAATTCACAAGGTATGGCACCAGTTTTAGAAACCAGGATTAGTGAACTCATTAGTCATTCCTAGCGGTTTTTGTTCTCTGTCCGTAAGTGGTGCTTCGAGCATGATACCTACCTGCAAGGGTTACCGCAACACCGAATATCACACATACGGTAACTGAAGTCACAACTCTGCTGAAAAACTGGAAGGGAGATAGAGCTCCCAAGCTGTTACATTTATGAGCAAAAAATAGTGATGATTTTCCAAGAGGGAAAGAACCGATGCTAAGAGAAGTGATTGATTATTCTTAGTAAGAGTGGCTTGTTCTGAGCTGATGTTCTTGAAGCAAGATTGTCCAGATCCCTGGGTAAGAAGCACCCCAGGTGCTGGACTGCTGCATGGGGGCTGGGGGGCAGGGGAGATGGGGCAGGCAGCCTCATCAGGATATTATTTTAAGGGTTGGGCAAAGGGCAAAATCCAGGTGAGGCAATAGGATGGAACCTAGATTTTCTAGTCCCAGCACAAGAGCCTTGACTGTGTGGGTAGGATGCTATTAAGGCACCGAGCAAGCTTAAGCTTTTTTCCTTCCCCACTGGCTTACACCGTACGTGAAGCTAGAATTGAGTAAGAGGACTCCGTCAGATTGAAAAGCTGTTATTCTGAGTTTTGCAGAATGAAAAATGTTCATTTTTGGTTCACGATACTCAACTGCTCTTGCAAAGACTAGTTTTGTTGTCCTAAAGCTGAAGGGTACAGCCTGCTACTTGAAACAGTGACGAGCTCTAGACCTCTGATCTGGGATCACGAAGCTGAGTTCATAGTAGGGGTAATACGGTAAAGGGGTATCGGGGATTTTCTGCTTAAGGAGGTGGATTTTGAAAAGTCCTTTTTTGTTACGTGTATTTGTGCGTTTTCCTTTCTCTTAGGAGATAGTATTTTAGGAGCCGGATCCTGTGGTGGCGTTCCTATCCTTTTTTCTAGAAACAGTGGATTGGTGTCTATTACTTCAAGAGAAAATGTGTCCATGTTAGCTGAAGACCTTGAAGATTCCCTAGCATCTTCAGTTGCTGGACGAAGCAATGAGGTAACGTGGTTCCATAAGATTTAAACATTTTTATCGGAGTATTTGCCGCAAATGTTTAAAAGTCAGACAGTTCTGAGAGTTGCAGTGAAGGCATCAGTTCTTTTATCTCCCTCATCTCCTTTGTCCTCTTGTTCAGAAGCAGTTGCTTTTGGGGGAGGGTGTAGCTCAGTGGCAGAGCGTGTGCTTAGCATGCATGCGGTCCTGGGTTCAATCCCCAGTCCCTCCATTAAAAAGTAAATAAATAGACCTAATTCCCCCCTCCGCAAAAACAAAACAAAACAAAACGAAAACAGAAGCAATTACGTGTAAGTCCTTTAGTTGTTTCTTTTGGTATTTTCCTTCATATTTCTAAGTAATATGTATATGTTGTTACCTCTAATTCACCAGTTTTAAACATTTTTTGATTTCCTGTTAAAGAAGATGAGGACTGGGGTCTCTTACGCTCCTTTCTCTGCCTTTATCATCCAGTATAAATTTTTCCCTTTATAATGACCATGTGAAGATTGCTTACAGTCCAGAGTCAAGTGGTGCGCTGATTATGTTTCCCTTAGTGCACAGCTTCGTGTGATTCTTGGAGTGTGTGATGGACTGATTTTGCTTTTGCTACTTTGATACCTGGCTTAGTCTTCCCACCCGCTCCAGCAGCTCTGTAAATGCTTTTCAGTATAGCCTTCCCCACAGTCAGACCTCTAGAAACCCTACACCGACTCCCATCCTGGAACTTCCCCTCTCATCGTCCTCGGATCCTCATCAGAACCTGTCCCTGCACCACACAGGTTTGCCTGGTGTGCTCCCTGCTCTGTCGCTCGTCACTCCTGGTTTCCATCTTGGTGTTGTAGTTGGAACAACCGCAGGTGTTTGGGTGGTTGTGTTGCTTTTTCTGGTTGTTCTGGAACAAGTTTTGAGGGGAAAGTTGGATAAAAATCATCAATTTTTTTTCTGTCCTCTTGAAACCCAAAAGCCTCTGACCCATAAGATTTCTATCATTCTTTTATAGGAGACTAAAAATTAATACTGTTTGGGGGTAATTTTTTATTTGAATAGTATGTGAAATACATGGACTGCAATTCTAAAATGGTTTGGTACAGTTTCAAGAGAAAGTGACTTTTTTTACTTTTATTCTTTTGTAATCATGTGGTTTTTGTAATACCGCTGTATATTCTGGAGCTATCTGACAGTACTCCATTTCTTTCAAGTTTTAAATTTTTCTTTAAGCTTGAAGTCAATCGTTACGCTTAGAAATATACGTTCTGATAAGTTGCGTAAGAGCAAACCTATAAAAAGGTTGTGTTGGTTGGGATAAAATCCCCAAATGATTGTGCTCACGATATAATCCCTGAATTATATGTGTGTTTTCTGTGGTGCTTCATTTGTCCTCTGGGGTGTTTTATCTTGTTTTAATAAACGTCTTAAATGCATAGACTGCTGGTGTGGAATACGGCAAACAGCGTGTGTGTCTGTGTTGTTGCCACTGTGGGTGAGCCCAGTTTTTAAAAGTCCAATAATTGGAAGTTTTCTTACACCTTCGCCTCTAAATTATAGTTTGTTATTTCACAGAGCGTGGTTTCTGAGGCCTCTGCAAAGAACGAAACCATTGCCCAGGAAGACAAGACAAAGTTGCTAAAAGCTGCTTTTCTGCAGTACTGCAGGTATAACAGATTTTTTAAATTACGGCTTACTTGATGTCCTAGGGCACGTTTTACTGACGTATGCTCCTCCGTGTTGGCCAGTGGGAGCAAGCCGGAGGGGGGGGCCACCCAGGAGGAAGTGTTTTCCTGAGCTTTGGCACTTCAACCAACTTGTTCTGAACTTGGTGGCCACAGGTGGGGTCCAGCTAGGCTCGGGTCACAAGGTACTGTAACATACCCTCTCCACTTAACGGAAACAGGGTCCCATTGTAAATGGCAATCATGAGCATAGCTTGCAAGCCTCTTTTCTGTATAACGTGAAGGCAGTTAAGTTGCATACAAAGTGTTATCATCGGCGTTTTAAAGGAATTAGACTTAGCCTGTTAGTTGAGTTTTGATGCATAGAAGTCACCAAAGAACTTAGTGGCTTATTCCGTGTAGCTCCTGGATCTGCAGGCTGGCTCTCTGGGGTTGGGTCTGGGTGATGGCTTTCCCTGTTCCCACTGGGCTCCCTCGTTGCCTGTGGTCAGCTGCCGGCTCTCTGGCTAGACTTGCTCCCGTACTGGGGCTTCCATCTGCTTCAGGGGGCTCCCTTCATCTAGCAGGCCGCCCTGCCCCTTTCCGCAAATCTCGGGGTTCCAGAGGTGACAAGACAGTAAGCCTCGCTGCACAAGTGCTCTTCAGGCCTCTGCTGGGGTCGCGTTTGCTCATGTCCCGCTGGCCAGAGCGAGGCACAGGGGTGAGCCCCCGGGGATGGGTGCTCCCGGGGAGAGTGTGTATGGGGTGGGGGGGAGAATTGTACTCAGTCTGTCACACTTGCGGACCTGTTACTTCTGGTTTTAAGGCAAATTCAGTCATTTCAGTTTGTCCTACACATATATTCAGCATATTATGTATCTGGTACCTTCCTTAAAAAGTGCAGTAAATTTGTATTTGAATGAACACTCAGGAAGACTGTGATCCAGCCCTTTGCTCTGCCCCTATTAACTGTGTGAGACTTTAGACTTGCTCACCACTTCTGGAATTCGGGGTTTTCCTCCGTGAAGTGTTGAGGGGGCTGGCAGTTGGAGAGCGTGAAGACTCATGAGTTTATCTAGCAGATCTTCGTTTTGAAGAAATATTCAGACTTTACTGCCTCCGTTTCCCCCAGTTCTCAGCTCACGAGCCTGCAATTCCACGCACAGTGTGTCTGATGCGGAGCAGCGCGCTCTCACGGAAAAGGCAGCAGGCTCTGCGGTGCTTTGCCGTTTGAAAGCTCTGTGAGCATCCACTGAGCTTAGCTGCTTGTCCAGGAGAGGGCACCGTTTGATAAGTGTTTCATTTCTGTTTTTAAATAGTAGCCTTTAAATCTGTTGCCTGGTGTTCAGCCTGGCTGCCGAGATTCAGATTAATACCGTGATTGTGTCTTGTATAAGTTTATCCTTTGATGAACAATTCTGTCAGATTTGTGGTACCTCAAAGGTTTAAGTGATAGTGGGAGTCATTGTGTCAGTTTCCTGGGCTGCTGTAACAAATTACCACAGGCTGGGTGGCTTAAAACAGTAGAGAGGTGTTCTGTCACAGCTCTGGAGGCCGAATGTCTGGAATCAAGGTGCCAGCAGGGCCACGCTCCCTCCGAAGGCTCTCGGGGAGGATCCTTGCTTGCCTGCCTCCTAGCTGCTGGGGTCGCTGGCACTCACTGGCATTCCTTAGCTTGGATATGCATCAGTCCGGATGTCTCCATTGCCACCTGTCTGTCTGTCTTCACATGTCCTTCTGATGACGATGCCAGTCAGTGGATTTAAGGCCCACCCTAATCCAGTGTAGCTCCCCCTCATAACTTAACTGATCATATCCTTAAAAACCTGTTTCCAGGTGAAGTCGCATCCTGAGGTTCTGGGTGGACATGGAATTTGAGGAAACATTACTCAGCCCAGCGTGGTCGTTTCTAAACATTTTACTGGGGAAGGTTATGAAGGGATCCCCGACCTTAATGCCGAGTGTAGTAATCTCTTAGGAGCAGTGTCGCTGGGCCTCTAACATGGCTCTGCCTTCTCCTTACCCCCTGTAGCATGGGTGAAGGACCATGAGGTTAACAAGTAATCATTTCTGGGGGCCTGTCAACCAGCAGTCTTAAAGAATTAGACTCTTCACAAATGGAACTGTGGTACCTTTAAAGCAGCATTTCTCAGCCTTACCACTGTTGACATTTGAGGCCAGCTAGTTCTCCGCGGTGGCGCCGTCCTGTGGTTTATAGAGTGTCTAGCAGCATCTCTGGCCTCGTCCCATTTGATGCCAGTAGCATCCTTGCCCCCAGTCTGTGACAACCAGAATCACTTTCAGGCATTGCCGGATGCTCCCTAGGGGTCAGTATTGGTAGATAGCCCTCTAAAGTGTTACCCGTTTAGTTTTTGGCTAAGGTAATGTTACCATTTTTATAGCATGGTTTCTTGGAAATTAATTTCTGTATTTTTATATTCATTTTACATAACTCAGTATAAATACGAAATTCACTGTTCATGAGAGTTTTAAGAAACGTGTTCTTTTGATTGAAATGATTCATTATTGACTGATCTTGCCGTAGTCCACTTTGTATTCCCACAACTGGTAGCGCAGCGAAGATTCCAGCTTCGCCTTGGTCTTTAACACTTTCCGGCAGGTTTTCTGTGTCTCTCTGGTCAGCCCTGTCTCCTGTTCTGAGGAGACCGTGTCAGCCCGCCTCTCGGCTCCTCCACCCTCCCATTTCTCTCTTCCTCTCCTGCACTGAGCAGATCACTCAGCCTGTTTCACAGAGATAACAGAAGCCATCGGATGACAGGTCCCTGTGCTGCCCACCTACAGACTTGCCCGCGTCCCAGCTCCTTTTCCCCTTTCCCTCCCTGCAGAGCAGGAAGAAGTGCTCCTCCTCCTGAGACCAGTCTCTCTGTCTTTGTTCTGAGTGCCGCTGTCTCCCGTTTCCTTGGAGACTGTACTCTCAGTTACTCCTCTCCTTTGTCTCTGGCCTTTCTTGAGCTGGCTTCTTCTCATCAGCCATTAATCGCACTTAATGTGCCATTTAAAAAAAATACCAGTCTTTGACTTTGTGACCCCTTTTGAGCTAGCACCCCTTCTGTTTGTTCTGTTTATAGCTAAACTGCTGGAGAAGCTGTCTACATTTGCTCTTGTCTGCCATGTTTTTCTCTCTCCGCCCCCTGCACAGTCTTTTCTCCTTCCTTGGCTTCATTTGTTGAAGAAACACAGCCCTTCCATACTCTGGGCCGTTATATACAAATGAAGAACTTTCGAAAGCAGTTGTACATTCCAGGAGCCCCTCGGTTTTAACCTGTCCGAAACTGTGCCTGTCTTCTCCAAGGCTTTTCTTTCTTTTCTACCTCCGTTCCCGTGACAGGTCCTACAGTCCATATTCATTTGTTCAGAGCAGAAACGTGGGAGTCATCCCTCTATATTAGATCCAGTCAATTGCCAAAACTTCCCTCGTGGATCTTTCTCAGACTTGTCTTGTCTCCTCCACTGCAGCTATTGCTAATGGAGACTGCCGCCACCCCCACGTGCCTGGATTTCTGCAGTCACTTCCTAACTGGATTTTTCTCCCTCCTGTCTGATCCCCGATCTTTGTAGCATTCTTAGAAGGAGCATTAAAAATAGAACAAATCATGACATTTCCTTCTCGGTGTCTTTCCACCATCCTTAGGATTAAGTTCAAACTTCATCACATGGCTGACCAGACTTCTTATACTCTCCCCTTTAGCTGGTGGCGTTTCTAAGCAGTCTGCCCTGGACCCTTTCTTTCCTCTCCTCCCTGGGTGTTTCCTCCCCTCAGGGATTCAGTTCTCTCCTGAGATGTGGGCATCCTTGCTTACAGGTGTGACAGGTGCTCTCTGTGCCACTGTGTGCCCCTTCCCGTCCTCCCCACACCTCTTCCTCCAGGAAGTGTTCCCTGCCCCCCGATGGCTTTGGTTTCCCTTCTGTGTGCTCTGTGGCCCTTTTATTCTCCTGTCATAGTGTGTGAGTAACTGCTTGTTCAGTTGCCTGACCCCTCAGGCCACTGTATGCTTTGTGAAGTCTTGGGACTGTCTTCTGATTTTTTGTTTATTGTTCTGTCTCCAGTGCCTGCATATTGTAAGTATTCAGCATAGATTTGTTGAATTACTGAATGCATAATGGTCCTCTCCCGTTTAAATAAATGTTACTAAAAATGATCAACTTGGGGCTAATATATGGCACTTTAATTTCACAGTCAACTTCTTCATGGTGAGTTTAATATTTTTACTTCTAATACTTTTGTTTTCCCATTTGATTTCAGAAAAGACTTAGGTCATGCGCAGTTGATAGTTGATGAGCTGTTTTCTTCTCACTCTGATTCGGATTCTGACTGTGAACTAGACAGAGCTGTTACGCAGATCAGCGTGGACCTGGTGGACGACTACCCAGCTTCTGACCCACGATGGGCTGAGTCTGTCCCCGAGGGTAGGGACATCCTCATTTTAATTTTATGGAATTACAGGGAGGGTGTAGCTCAAGTGGTAGAGCGCGAGCTTAGCACGCAAGAGGTCCTGGGTTCAATGCCCAGTCCCTCCTCTAAAAAGTAAGTAAATAAATAAATGTGATTACCTCTTCCCCTCCCCCTCGGAAAAAATAATAAGTTTAGTATTATGGAGTGAGCTGTCTTGAGAAGAATGTTCTGATTCTTTTATTAAGGCATTTCTCAGTGCATATTTTTTGTTTTCTGGAACAATTTTGTATTAATCCAGTACTTTTTAAAGGTTGTAACTTTCCTTGTACTAGATTTTTTTAAAGGGCTCAGAACAGATCTACACAGCAGAATAGAAACTGGGGGAAATTTGGAACAAACCCTGCTTGTTCTCTCTGAAGCAGATTCATCAGCCCTGCTGAGCTTTCTCAGCATTTTACCTCTGCAGGGAAATTGGTGGCATAGGTAGGCATTTGGCACTTATTAGACCCATATTAAATGCTGATTTTTACATAATTACTGTATTTGGCTAATAGAAATTATACATTTCTGTAAGAGCAGCAGCAATCACGTCTCAGCACGTAGAAGCAGGCACATTATGTTTTCCCGCCTGCCCTGGGTGACTTTTCCTCTTACCCGTCCACGCAGCAGCGTCCGGGCGCCCTGGGGACTCCCACGTACCACATACCAGGGAACTGTCTCCAACATTCGTCTCTGTCCCTGATTTCCTACCTGGCAAGTAAGCCTCGTTAGAAATTCAGGAAGAAATCATCAGTGCTTACCTTCTTTCTTTGACTGATTCTTTTGAGCTGTCAAGCTTAGAATGATGAAAATGATTAAGGTGATAACACCACATTTGTGTTTTGAGTAAATGGGATATGAATTGTATGGAATCCCCCAAATTTTCCTCTAAATTTTTAAACTCTTGGGTAACATTATTAATAACTGCATTGAAAGGTTGGTACTTCCCTTTTGTATAGATTTTTCTTAACTTTTTGTCTTAATAGCAATAATTATTGTAAAGCCAGTATGTTACTATGTTTACATTTTGTTACTGTTTCAACAGAAGCCCCCGGGTTCAGCAATACGTCACTGATTATTCTTCACCAGCTGGAAGACAAGATGAAAGCGCACTCTTTCCTTATGGACTTTATTCACCAAGTAAGCATCCCAGTCGCTGTGAACAGGGCTGGTCAGGACACTTGGCTTTGCTCTGCCTTTTTTCTCTCTCTCCAGGCCAGTGGGAGGTCCTTTCTCTCTTACTCTGAGGTGTTTTGTTGCGTGGGACCTGACTAGTGTTGTCCATTTTCTTTGCTGACTTAAGGTAAGTAATTCCAGGCCTGTGTGAAGGCCTGTCACTGTAAGAATCAAAGCTGCATTGACAATAAGATAAAAAGAAGAAAATAGTATATTTCAGCAGAAATATTGTTTTAACTTTTCTTGTTACATGCTATGACGCCCTGCTTTTCATTTGGATTCCTGGTGTGCTTCTATGTAAAACTTGGATTTTCATGAGCTGATTTTGTATTATTTAAGCAGGACAGTGAAGAGTCTGAAGGTGATGACAGGGTTTTGTTTGTGGGTTTTTAATTTTGAGGTGCCATTAGGATCAGATACTCACTTAAAGTGTTCTTTTTCATTAAGGGGTGGGGAAATCCCCATTTATATTAAGCCTAAAATTAGAAAATGTTTCTGCTGCTCGACAGAATTGGTACACAAAATCACCCATCCTTGCCTTGTCGATCAGTTGTTGGCTCCCAGGCGTAATTCAAGTGAATTAATTTAATTTCGTTTTTGCGTATTTTTTCCAAACTCAGTAGCACCTTTGTGTTGCACAGATTCTGGCCGGCGCTGCCTCACGGGACTTTCTGTGGCGGTGGGGAGGTTCTGTGTCTGTGCCACCTGGAATGGCAGCCCCTGGGCCCGTGTTGCTGCAGAGCCCTCGAGATGTGCTGGTGCAGCTGAGGAACTGAATTTTTTTTTAAATTTAAATTTAATTAGCTTACGTCACCATTTTGTTGAATAGTGGCTGCCTTATTGGATAGGGTAGTTCTAGGTGATTCCAGAAATATCTTGATTGTTTCCAGTCCTGAGTTCTGCTTCCATTGTAATGCACGACTTGCCTCCCGTCTATTCCTGTTGTCTTGGTAGGAGAACTTCATTCGTTCACTGAGTCTGTCCTTTTTTAGTGTTTTAAGGAGGCTGCAGATTAACAGGGGAAAAACACAGCATTTTCTCCTGATGTAACTGTGTAATCAGTCAAGTGTATCAGTTACCTGTTAACAAACCACCCCAAAACGTTGTGGGTTAAAACAACTGTGTGGGCGGTTCTTTGCCGATTTTACCTGGGACCACGCCTTGAACTGCACTTAGGGTGGGCTGAGCTGGAAGGTGCCCAGCTTCTCTCGTCTGGCTGGCAGTCGGTGCTGGCTGTCCACTGGGCCTCTTGGTTCTCCTGTTAGTCTCTCATCCTCTGTTAGTCTGGGCTGGCTTCCTGTGGTCTCAGGGCAGCCCTCCAAGGGAGCAAACTTAGAAGCTGTAGGCTTTTTAAGGTCTCACCTCAGACATCCCATAATGTCACTTCCACCAAAGTGACATTGGTCAAAGCAAGTCACAAGGCCAGCCCAGATGAAAGGAATGGAGAAATAGATTCTGCCTCCTGGGGGAGGAGTGGCAAAGCCACGTCGCAGACGGGTGTGCATGCTGGGACGGGGGGTGTTCGTGGGCCCGGTCTGCCCCAGGGAGGAGATGCTGATTTATTGGAGGATAGAGGGTCTCGGAGCTTGAGCAGTCACAGCATGTCTCAGCACAGCCTCCCTGGGCCTCAGGGACCCGCATGGAGTCACCCAGCTGTTGGCAGCAGTGTCCACTGCAGGGTAATGTCTAGCTAGACCTGAAAATCTCCTCTCTTCCTGTGCCTTCCTACTTCCTTTAATATTTACAGCTGATTTCATTGAATAAGTTGCATTAATAATCAGGGAAAGTGTTAAACTAGTTCCTGGCATCTAAGGAAACAGTTCTGCATAGAAGGCTCTCCTCCTCAAGCCCAGCTCAGCGCCAGCAAGGCCATGGCTTCGTTCTGAAGCGGGCCAGAAGTAACATCAGTGCCTCAGGGCAGCGTCTTTGCCTCTGGTTTCCTAGTCTCAAGGAAGGCCCGTGTCCTCACCCGTAGCATAGAGAGGCGGAAGCAGGGCATGCACGTGGTCCTCTTCATTGTGTGTCTAGAGTGATCGTAATGTCATTACCGCTTCACGGCAGTGCCACCAAGCAGGCGGTCCTCACGTAAAACTACACTCGACAGTGTTTGCGAGGGGTCCAGGAAGCGAATTCAAATCATGGAAGCCTATGCAGCTCTTATTTTTAAATAACCAGGTGAACAGGTTGAATAAATTAAGAGAGACTGATTCAGGGAAATATTCCATGGTCATTTAAAACCTAATTAGAGGAATATCTAAATGCGTGGTGAAAAAATAAGATGCTATCAAAACAAGGAGCAGAACAATATAGATAGTATGACTCCTTTGTGTTTTAAAAAAAGGTATCTCCTAGCACATAAATACCATAGCAACATAAAGATACGAAGGAAACTTAGCTGCAGCTGTAGTAGGGAGAGTAACGGGCTGGGGCCTGGGGACTGTCACAAAACCCTCTACTATTACCTTTCTAACTATGTGCATTTTTTACTCATATCAGTAGGAATTCTCTGGGGATTTGAATTACTGTTCATTTTTGTTTTCTGTGTCCTTTTCTATATTTAAAATAAACCTTAATATATAAAAATCAGGTCACTTATTAATGAATTATACTTAAAATGTGGAAGAATACTCATTATTTATGCTTGTCTATTGACTTCTTCCTAGTTCAGGTTATTGTAATGTTTTATCAAGTGAAAAGGCTTAGGGAAACTTCTAGAACCTAGCAACACACCAGAAATGGGCATCAGGCAAATCAGAGGACCAGAGACTCTCCCACCCTCCCTGTGGCTTTAGGGTTCTAGAAATCAGTCCTTGAGGACGGAGACTGCTGAGTTTCTAGTTCCCAAAGGTCTGGAATCTAGGGGAGTTGATTGTTGTGATAGAAAAGAACAATTTTACAATTTTGAGAGCCATAAACAATAATTTGAGAAATAAAATAGGGACCACAGTAGCTGAATCTCTGGGAAGACCCTAATCTCAGAACAGGAACTTCTGTTCTTTCTAGAAGCTGTCAGTGACCCTGGGTGAATTGTGTGTGTGTGTGCGCACGCGTGCATGTGAACATGCACGCGCGCATATTTGCGTATGTGTGTTTAGAAACGGCCCGAAAGAGAGACAGGGGAGGTCTGTCCTGGGTAGAGTGAGGGCCGGTGGCTCTGTACCCAGTGTGCTTCGGGTGAAAACGTAACTGCACTCTCCCGTATGTTGCTGGAGGTGTTTTCCAAGAACGTGTGTTTGTCTTTTCGCAAGGTTGGCTTATTTGGACGTCTCGGCACTTTCCCAGTGAGAGGGATGCCGATGGCAACGCGACTGTTGCTCTGCGAGCACGCCGAGAAGTTGTCAGCCGCGATCGTGCTCAAGAACCACCACTCACGGCTGTCTGAGCTGGTGAACACGGCGATACTGATTGCCTTAAACAAGAGGGACTGTGAGGTCCCGTCCAACCTGACCCCCGCAGACGTCTTTTTCAGAGAGGTAAGATGAGTCCTCTTCCTGCCCTGAGACGTGGCTCTGTGGAGCTGTGCCGTTTATTGAACAGGCCCCAAGGAGGAAGGGATTGAGGATGAAAGACTTCACTGAAATCTTAAATCAGACTCCTTGTTTTCTGGGTGAAAGTGTGACTCGTCTGTTACTTTCCCTGTGAATGAGGGCAGGGGAGGCTAGAAAGCCTCCCTGTGGCGTTCTGGGTGTTTCCTTTTGTTTCTCCACACCGCTGGTATTTTGGGGGATTTTCGGGTTTGTTTTTTCACTGTAATCCTAGATTTAGTCAACACAATCCTTTTACTCTACCCAACAAAGTACAAACACAACATTATCTAATATGCTACAAAGTGAACTCAAAACAGAAAGTTTATAGTACTGACTGCACAAGAAAAGCAACGTACGTGTGGCGCGGGGCCCTGCAGGACCACTATGAGTGCCAGCACAACAGAGGGTCCTGTGATGGCCCTGCAGGGCTGGCTCTCAAGCTGCTCACTGATTTCAGGGAGAAAGGGAGGTGTGGGGCGGGGGGTGTGTGCACGCACATCATCACGTGTAAAAAGAACCACTTTGGGCAAGTAATGGAGTGTTTGATCCTCAAGGTCAGAAAAGGACTCAAGCAGGTGAGCAGGACCAGGCTAACAGGAGCAGCAGCTGCAAAAAGGCACAGCCTTTCCTGGGGAAGCCTGCAGGCCAGCGAGTTAGAGCGTCACCAGGCCACCACATTATCCCCAGGATGTGCTCCACACCACTCTTGACTCTGTCCTGGGAGGACAGCCTTGCAGTGAGCTCCCTGGATCTCTGGCTTCCTGCTGGGTTTGACAAAGGGGAGGCACTATGAGGTCAGTTTGGTGCCTACTTCCACCAGTTTGTTGTGCCCTCTGTCAGGGACCTTGGCTTCTCTCTGACTGCCCTCTCCACTTTTCCAGTAACCGCTCCCTCCTGGTACCTCTTCAGGCCTGGACTTAATTGTGGCTCCCCTTGTGGCTGGGGGCTAGTGACCCCGGAGGCTGCAGCATCCCTCATTGGTCCCCATACTCCTGCTCACATCTTTGTAAACAGTCCCTTCACCAAACTCTCCTCAGCTGGAATCCTGCTCTACACCTCACCTTTAAAGTCAGATTTATTTTCAGAGAAAACGAAAAACCTGCAGTAAACTTGGGAGGGGAGAAAAGTTAAGGTGCTGGCCCGCTGGTGGCAGCTGGCCACTAGTAATAGTACACAGCTCTTGTGCCTGTGCGATGCCTCCTTACCTCGGGAAATGGCAGGGCAGACCTTCCTGCCTCCCTTTGCAGGTGCTGATGCTGGTAAGACTCAGAGGCTGATTGTCCGAGGTGAGCTGACGGACTCTGGCTCTGAGCCGGTGTTAAGCGCTCTATTTCGGACATACTGGCAGGTTGCTTCCAGAGTTCGTAGTCCTTAACTAGGACTGTCCTCCCTCCGTGGCACTGTTGCGGTTTAGGGACAGTGCTAGCTCTTCTCCTGGCTTCGTGAAATTTGGAATTGTTTTTGGCGTTTGGGAAACTTCTGTTTGGTGCCTCTAGTTTTATTTCCTTCCTCCTGCAGTCTGGCTGTCAGCTAGCATCGGATAGCCTCCGCCAAGAGACTCTCTTCCTTCATATTTGATGTACTGTAACCTGAGAATATTTAAGACAGGAACTGTTTCCAGTTCTGTTGACTCCATAAATATATGCAGTTTGAAGAAGGCCTCATTTTTATACATTTGAGGTTTTTTCTAGGGAATGTAAGGCAAAGCACTTTTTCGCTTCATTTTGTTTTTTAATGTAGGAAATATGCCTGAAATCTGAATGAAAACAAGGAAGTTCACCTCAAATTTCATGATCTAACCGAACTGTTGTAATTGTTGTCTTTTTTTGTCTTTTTTTATACATAACCTTACATGATAAAAAATTTTTTTTAATTTTTTTTAAATTGTCAATGACAAATTGAATTGAGCAAGAGCCTGGTTCCTTTTTCTGCATTTGGCTCAAAGTGCAAACCATACTAGTTAATTAAGTTTATGTACGTTTTCTAATAACTGAAAAAAAAGGAAGGGTCTGGACATTATCAGTTGGATACATAATTCGTGAGTAGTGCCTCAGGAATATGATAGGAAAAGAAACTGAAAACGTGATTGGTTCCTCAGAAGAATGCTTCATATGGAAAATGGTAATCTTTAAGACTTGTGTATATGAAAACGAATATGTGTATGTTCGTGGATGACTGAAACATTGTGCTGCACACCAGAAATTGACACAGCATTGTAAACTGACTATGTTTCCATAAAAAATATATATGTACAATAAAAAAAGCTGTTTACATCACCATTTATCGTAATTTCTCATTACATTTACTGATCTTAAGCTTCCTTTGAGTCTCGTTCTAAAGGCCCTGCCACATGGCGTAACCATAATAAAAAGAGAGAGCTGAAGAGGGAATGCGTGAGTATAATGAGAAAATATATATCAATATATATGTATATATACACACATATTTTTTACCTGTCCATCCACTGGAGAGTAGCAAATTATGTTACCGACAGGCATTAGCATTTTACGAGAAGAGCTGGTTAACCCAAATTAGCCTCTCATTGGTGGGCTGTGGAGGGAGATGTGATCTGGCAGCCCTTGACAGACACCGCCCCCCCACCTTGCCTCCAGTCTTGGGTGGAGCCGCGCCCCTCCTGGAGCTCTGTAAAGCGAGTGAACTGCTTCAGGAACAGGCCTTGATCTGTGCTGGGTCAGCTTATGAGCAGTGTTTGAAACCACTGAACACATAGCTCACATGGTAAGGGTGTGTAGCAAGTGTTTTGGCATTTTATTTGCTTTTATTTTTTCTGCCTTTCAAAATAGCAAAATATGCTTCGTTATCTTTTCCCATTACCAGCATAAACAATTCTTCCACATTAAATGTGCCAGAGGTTTCTTGCTAGGGCTGTTAGGATGCCTTTGATTGGCATCAGAAATACAAAAGGAAGAACCAGTTTTGCGAGACAGAAGGATTTTGTTTGGCTACATTGTGCATGTGTGTACGTCCTATTCCTTCTTCTAGTTTGTAAGCTCCTTGAGGGCAGCAAATCTGATTTCTCTTTCTTCTCATCTTTGAGGGCCCAGTGCTATGCAGACTCTGAATACTAAGTCAATATCCACTTGAGAAATAAAGGGGAAAGGCTTAACTGTGGGCTGAAACTGGAAACAAATATTTCAGTGCTTAACATTTTTGCACAGTTACCATCGTGTTAATGACAAAAAACCAAAAGCAGCAGTTAGAAGTTACGTGTTTAGTTGAGCTTGTATGTAGCGACTGCTGTTCTCTGGACATTTCTGCTATGTGTGAAGAAGAGGGGTTCCTCAAAGAAAGAAATGAGCAAGTTTATTAGTTTGGGTATTATTTTAATACACTAGTTCATTAGTTTAATTCATTCCTTTGAGGTCTTACGTTGTGATGGGACACCGTTTGTAACCTAGTACTATTTGAAGGGGACATTGAACACTAATAACAATAATAAACAAATATTTCAGTCACTTGATATTTAAATAAAAAATCTACCAGCTAACAATCCAGAATTGCTTGTGTATCAGGCTTAGTTATTTGGAGTCTTTCCCTTTTAAAAGTTAGGAGATTCTAACATTTTTTGATTGTTAAATTTATTTTCACCACCAACTATTCCTCTGACTCAGGAGCAGAGAATGACTTCCTGAGAAAAGCCCACTGAGTTGAGTCTAGGGAGTTGTAACTGTCACCCATCCCCATGATTTGTTACACAGTGGTTGTCGTCTCTCTGCTCCCTTAGGTGTCCCAGGTAGATACCATCTGTGAGTGTTTACTGGAGCACGAGGAGCAAGTCTTAAAGGACGTATCATTGGAATCGGTTGAATGGGCTGAGGTGGTGATCAACGTGAACAGTATTCTCAAGGTACAAAAATACGGCGAAGATTTCAGCAAGTCAAAGGCCAGACTGTGGACATAGGATACAGTAGTGTCCATATTGCTACCTTGTATCACCAGTAATTGGTAATGGTTTGACCATTTGTTAATTCCACAGCGTTAGGAAAATGTCAGTCATGTTATCAATCAGCTAAACATTTTGAGTGTTTGCCTTGTGCATGTTAACGATTTCTGTAATCCTGAATTCTGTTTGGTAGAATAAACGTTTTATTTGGGGAAGGATATTTATATCATTGCAAATGTATTAATGTTAGTGTAACTGTCTAAATAACGCTCTACTTTTTATTGCTCAGAAGCTCACTGCTTGCATATTATTGATTAAAGTGTTTTATTTGATTTTCGCTAATGGGCTTTATAGTGACGGTTTTTGTACTTCTGGTTACTGTAGTTTCCTACGGTTGAAGGTAAATGACGGAGTCAAACAAAGCTCACATGCAGAAAGAACCCGAAAGTAACCCTACAGGCCTGTGCCGAGTGGTTTTTTGTAATAATAGACTTCGATGTTTCAAATTATCTTAGAAATCCCGGGATTCACCACTTTCTGCATGTGATAACATATTTCCTTTTTTCCCAGGACATGCTGCAAGCTGCTACTCACTATCGACAAAATAGAAGCTCCTTGTACAGAAGAGAACCATTAGACCAAGAACCTGAGTATGTTCCCTGGACAGGTGAGATTGCAAGCACTGAGCCCAAACATACTGATTTGTTAGCAGTTGTTCAAAATATATTTCTAATCATCTATTATTTTTGGAAGCCGTCTTATTCCCCTAATGCAGATTTGTAAGTGAAGTCAAAAATAACTCAAGTGCCACCTCCCGAATGAGCAGTTCTTGTGAAATTCATGTTATTCCCTTGGAATACTTTGTAGATCTCTCTATAATTTATTTTTTTAACCGGTACCTATGCATCAAGTAGGTTTTAGTACATACAGTTAGTCACAGAAGCAGGCTCTGGGGGTATTGACTGTATTTTATGTTGACTGAATACAAGAAATGACGTGGAGTAGCATTAAAGGAATTTAGAAACAGAAAGAATTATGTTTCCCTTTCTTTGCCGGGGACGTCTCCATAGAGAAGATGCATCCTTTGCACAGGACGTGGAGAAGTATCTACTGAACCCCTACTTGATTTCTTTTTCCAACAACAGTGCAGTGATAAGATTTTTAGGCAGTTGGTTTTTCCTGTAGCCATTATGGAACCCTTATTTACCATATTACATGATTTCACAGCGACGAGTGGCCCTGCTGGCATCCGAACTGCAATCGTGCGCCAGCATGGCGTTGTCCTGAAAGTGGTTTATCCCCAGGCAGACAGCAACCTCCGAAACGTTCTGACAGAGCAGCTGGTGGCACTGATAGATTGCTTCCTGGATGGCTATATTTGCCAGCTGCGGTCTGTGGACAAATCCAGTGATCAAGAAAGATACACCAGTCTGGAAGTGGAATACCTACAGAAAAGATCGGACCTCTTGTCTCCACTTCGTAAGTTCGTGGTATTTAGCAAGGGCTGTGGTTCTTTGAACTCGCGGAATGGATAAAGGAGCTAGATCATTCACGCAGTATGTCACTCAGTGTAATGTCACTAACCCGCTGTAGCTCAGGACTTAAAGCAGAGCTCTGGTCTGCTTTAAGACCACAATGAACACAGCTTTCTGTGTTCATTCATTCAGCCTCGTTGTCATCACTTACCAGGTACAAGTGTCCTAGACGATGCTAAAGATGATTTAAAAGTGAATAAATAAACAACATGTGGAGACTGCGCTCAAAGGGCTTATCAGGACCTTCACAAGGAGTAACTGGACTGCAAAGTAGAGCAGATAAGGGCCGTTAGATTGACTGCGTGGCTGTCCCGCAAAGGGCATGTGACTCTCACAGCCAGGATTAAGACAAGTAGCTTGTCTTGCTGGTACGTGATGGAAAGGAAATAGCATCTGAGGTAGGCAGTGATGGACAAGGGGCCGCATTTGCATCTGTAATGAGTTTATGTAGGTTATGAAGCTAAATGCCAGTAAACTGGAAAGGTTTCCATTAATTATTTTTAGGGTACAATATGAATAAAGGTAAAATTTTGAGTAATATTTTTTATTGCATATTAAATTTTCACCAACAGCATTTTTTTCCCGTCTGCTCTTATCTCTACAGTCACACTAGGCCAGTATTCATGGGCTGCGTCGTTAGCAGAAAAATACTGTGACTTTGACATCTTAGTACAGTTGTGTGAGCAGACTGACAACCAGACCAGACTCCAGCGCTACATGACCCAGTTTGCTGATCAGGTAACGAGCATTGGGATGTAGGCAGTAAGTCCTTTACCATTTCAAATCTTGCTTGGAGCTTTTGCAGTTAACGCGATCCTAATTTGTACACTATGTTTCTTTGTAAGTTGACAGAGAAGTCTTTATATAAACTTAATATAAACATTACTGAAAGATTCTTTGATTTGTGAAAAACATATTAAGGCTTTTCGTTTCTATTCATGTATTTTCAGATATAATTAAAAGTAATATATGATAGAAAAGTAATACATAAATGTGGGTCAAGAGTTCTCAAGTTTGAATGATGATCTTGGGAGCACAGGATGCTACTTTCAGAGAGCTCAGATTTTGATGCACCCGAGATTCATGTTTTCCTTGTTTGACATGCTTCTTTTTTTTTTTAATGCTTATTAATTTTTTAAAAAGTATCCATTATGACACTAGGTGAATTTATAGTTGTTCCTTAAAGCCAGTTTTATTCAATCAGTTGATCTTTATGTAAAAGCTGATTTTTTTTCTTACTATAAAAGTAACATTGCATAAAATCAGGAAACCACTGTAAACAAAAAAGAAGATTAAAAAAATCATTCATAATTCCATCACCCCAAAAGAACCCTTTTAAACATTTGGTTTACATTCTTGTCTTTTTACTCTACATTATTATAGATGAACATGTTTTGTTGACTGCTTATTTCACTTAATACATCACAGGCGTTTGTCCGTGTCATTAAATATCACACAAGTGCGTTTTTCATGGTGTTTTGCTGTTTCATGGACTGGCTACAACCTACCTGATTTGATCAGTCCCTGATTGTTGGACTTGGCTTATCTAGTATTTCACAGTAGCGCTAAACTAAATACTTTGTGCTAGGCATTTTTACTCTTTTTGAGGATTCTTGTTCTCTATATATTTTTCCACCCACTTTTGCATTTAAAATTTTTTCTCTAATATATTTAGTAGAACCGTAAAGATGGAAATCAATGCTCTTATTCCTCCTTGGAGGCAGATGAGAGGCAGCTAACTCAGCTCATCAAGAGCAGAGGTGGGCCAGGGCTTGGTTGCAACTTCTGTTACATTCATTTCATTCCTGGTTTCAGAAATCTTGCGGGACTGATGTGTTCCTGGCAGAATCTCCCATTAGTGGGAATACCTCTGAAGTACCAGACTGCAGGACACTTCTGTCTTCCTTTCCAGCCCAGCCTCTCACGCCACCCCAGCATCCAGCAAACTGTGGGGAAAACTGGCTGGATGTTTGTGTCCTCTCTAGATTCCGATTTATCATGCCAGCCCACGTAGCCACCTGGCACACAGTTCTTGCCCTGAGATCTCTCATTCTTGAATGACAGAGTCTCAGTACTGTCCAGTAGAACTTTCTGTGATAGTGGAAATCTTGTGCATATGTGCTCTCCCAAACAAGAGCCTCTGGCCACGTGCGGATGATCATTGAGTGCTTGAAACGTGGCTGGTGTGCCTGAGGGACTGAATTTTAGATTTTAAATTAAGTGTGAACAGCTACATGTGACCAGTGACTCCATATTGGACAATGCTAGATTCTGCGTGCGCTTGAACCTTGAGCAAGATCCCTTTTCTGAATCTAAATATCCTTGTTTGTCAAATAAGGTGATTGAATTAGGTGATTTGAGGACCGTACAACACAGGGAGTTAGTGCTTAAAATAGGATTTCTTTTCTGGAGTCTAAGATCTTTGCAAGAAATTTAGTACTTTATTATCAGAAATGTATTTTTTAAACTATTACTGAGTATTATTGGATTCTTGGCTGTGTTCTTTGTAGAATTTTTCAGACTTTCTCTTCCGTTGGTACCTGGAGAAAGGAAAGCGAGGCAAATTGTTGTCTCAGCCCATTTCTCAGCATGGACAGTTGGCAAATTTTTTGCAAGCTCATGAGCATCTCAGCTGGTTACATGAAATTAACAGCCAAGAATTAGAAAAGGTAAGAAGAATTTCAGTTATGTGGAACAGATTTAGGCTATTTTTTTTTATTGAAGTAGAGTCGATTTATAATGTGTTAATTTCTAGCGTACAGTATAGTGATTCAGTTACACGTGTGTGTGTATATTCCTTTCCGTATTTTTTTCATTAGGCTGTTACAAGGTATTGAATATAGTTGCCTGTGCTGTACAGTAGGACTTTGTTGTTTATCTGTTTTATATATAGTAGTTGGTATCTGCAAATCCTGAACTCCCAATTTATCCTTGCCGACCCTCTCTCCTCACTAGTAACCATAAGTTTGTTTTCTATGTCTGTGAGTCTGTCTCTGTTTTGTAAATAAATTCATTTGTGTTCTTTTTTAAAAATTCCGTATGTAAGTGATATCATGGTATTTTTCTCTTTCTGGCCTACTTCACTTAGTATGATGATCTCCAGGTCCGTCCATATTGCTGTAAATGGCATTTCATTCTTTTTTTATGGATGAGTAGTATTCCATTGTTTATGTGTATATATACATACATATATGTATATACACACATACATATGTACACACACACACACACCCATATCTTCTTTATCCAGTCATCTGTCGATGGACATCTAGGTTGTTTCCCTATCATGGCTGTTGTAAATAGTGCTGCTATGAACATTGGGGTACATATGTCTTTTTGAATTAGAGTTTCCTCCAGATATATGCCCAGGAGTGGGATTGCTGGATCATAGGGTAAATACTTTTGATAAACATGCTTTTTATTTATGATGTTATTGCCATTACTTGTTATATCTCAGTTTTTTAAAAAAAAATGGAGGCTATTGTATTTTGACTGTTATTACACTAAAATAAAGCACAAAAACTTTAATGTGTAAATAACAGTTGGCCTTTTTTTCATAATAAAAATGTTCAAATTGCCAGTGAAAACAGTACATGAATTAAAGCTTGTCCTGGACAGGATGTTGAAGTGCTCGTGTTTGTTATAGAGCAAATGTTTTATACATATCTTTTCCCAGTAGTTACTGTGGGTGGCTGATATTTTATTGTGTAATTACTTACAAAGTATGGTACTGATCAGTTTTTTGCTAATGATGAATTGATCTTTCATTGGTGTAAGTTTGGGTTGTACTTAACTTTTATTTCAGTTTGAATCAGTACCCAGGATCTTACCCCAGTTTTCGTATTTTGTTTATTGTAGGCTCACGCAACACTTCTGGGTTTGGCAAATATGGAAACTTGTTACTTTGCAAAGAAAAAAACCCTTCTTGGCTTGAGTAAATTGGCTGCTTTAGCTTCAGACTTTTCAGAAGATATACTGCAAGAAAAAATTGAAGGTGAAAGATGGTATTTGCTGTGATGTGCCTTAGGGAATTTTCTGTCATCATTTTGATGCCCTGTAATTTGACAGGGGTCTGTTAAACTAGTGTCCACTTTTATCTAAACTCACAGAAAGAAATGCTTAATACTTGTGTATGTCACTGTATATAAATAGTACTTAAAATGTAAACAAATATTAAACTCGATAATGATTTTTAAAAAAAAGTATCTGAACAAGAAGGCATACAAATCAGCTGTGCTATCAGTGCACTCTCAGCATGCGTTCCCATTATCCGTCACGGAATCTGTTAGAAACAGGAGCATCTCTCCTTTAAGAGGGGTGCTTTCTATTTGGTGTTCTTAAACAATTACTCAGTTGTATAATTAGGGTTCTCTTTTTATAGTAAAGTAATCTGTGCTTTAAATAAGAATTCGTAAAGAATAAATTCAAATGATTTGAACAGAGTACTCTGATTACACCCTTAGTGACTCATATGCTAAGAACAAGAAGAGCTGCAAAGAAATCTTGACGTTCATTCGGTGGGTTTGCTGTAGGTGGTGGTAATTCTGAAACTGTTGATTTTAGGATTCAAAACTTTCTGATATCGTAATAGTGAAACTATTTTGTGTATATTGTAGATTGGGAAAATGATAGACTATATTGTTACTTTTGAGAACCAAGGAGAAAAGAGATACAAATATAGAAAGATGATGAGGAAGAGCCGTGTAGTATTGCATGTGAACTAAAGATATCAGATGGAATCATGATTGTTTAAAAAATGTGTTTCTTGGCTCTGTCCCCTGGAAAGACCTAAAAGCAGTGACACTCTGGTAGCATAAGTATACCTAATCCTGTATTTTGGTTTCAAGCTACCATCTCTTAGCAAGAGGAAATGAGGGCTTACCGAAGAAATTATCTTGTGGAGTCTTGTTGGGTCAGAAAGCAAGGTTAATGTCGAGATGTCAAACTGCACAACTGTTTCCACTGTCCAAATTTAGGAATAATTTGAACACCAAAAAGAATGATATTGGAGGATTTTATTTCACAGGTTCAAAAAGAAAAATCCATAAATCCATAGTGATACCCAAAAGGGAAGGGGTCAGTGAAATGTTTCTTTACAAAAGAAGAACCCCAGCTAATAACTGTAGAAAGAGTGACTGATTTGGGAAGTCAGCATTTTGCAATCATGAATAACTGGTCATCAAAGGGCGCTAAAGCCATTGAGCTTACAGGCTGGGGAAGAGGATATCATTACACAGATCTAGCAGATCCCATCGCCAACAGTGAGATAAACTCACGTTACATACTTCCTGGAGCGATGTCATGTGCCAGATACATAATAACCACTTGTGTTGTATTCCTGCCAAAGACGTTCAACTTGAATCTAATTACAACGGAACAATTAGATATATCCTGATATGGGGCATTTTACAATACATGTAATCAGCCCAGTCTCTTCAGAATTTAGCAACGTGAAAAGCAAACAAAAAAGACGGGAGCTGTGTTAGATTAAAGGAGCCCAAGAGCCTTGACAGTGAACTGCAGTGTGAATTTACTGATAGGCTCCTCAACCATCCCCCAAATAACCAAAACAACTATCACAAACATTTTGAGGATGGCTGGGGAAATTTTACCATTTGATGTTAAGTTCTTTGGGCCCATTAATGATATTTTGGTTAAATGTTCTTCTTAGGAGATACAGGATGAAGCATTTAGAAGTGAAGTGTCATGATGTCAGCAACTTTTGTATGGTTTAGGGGGGAGTAGGCAGATAGAGCAGAAGTGACAGATATTAACAGTAGGTGACCAGTATACAGTGCTGCACATTGTATTCTGCACAACTTTTTGTGGGTTTGGAATTTTCCAAAATAAAAATGAGAGGGGAACCTCGGCCATGTGGTCAGAGGTGAAGTGTGTGTAAATATGGACATTTGGCTGTAAGGCTTAGCCACAGAGTCCAGCCTTGTCTTATACATATTAAGTACTGAAAGCATGGGATTAGCATTTAACACTTATTATTAAAATTATTTTCCACTGTTTAGGAAGTCTCTTCCTTCAGTCCTTTATTTTTGAACACTAATAGTACCTGTTGTTCTAGAGAAGTGTGTATATATTCTGCAAGGCTGCCTGGTGATCTGAAAGGGGAGCCATATTTTAACTTGGCCACCAAAGATAGATCACGTTAATCAAAATATTTTAACATAAGGTTTATTATTTCTGGATTCCCCTACTTCAGATCATCATTTTGCATTTGATCACTTCTTAGCCTTTGCTTTCTTAACACAATGGGAGTATTTTCAGGTCTCAGTAATTTCCTACAGACTATTATTATAGTGTAAATAATTGAAGGGAGTAGGTTTTTAAAAAGTAACTTTCTATTGGATATATAAATAATTCCTTATGGAAATGTGTGAAGTATAGAAAAAATACAACAAAAAAATAAGTTGTCTATAATCCCACTGCCCCAGAGATAACTACTATTACTTTTTTGTGTATCCTCCCAGTCTGTTTTCCGAGGTATGGAAATTGCACAGAAAGATTTTATTTAATTTTTACAAGATTGGGATCAAGTGAAATGATGCTAGTATTTGAATGAGCGTATCTGTGCTGTGGTCACTCCGTTTTTCTGTGAATACTGTGTTTTTGAAGCTGCATGGTAGTTCTCAGCCCTCTTCCCCTGCAACTCACCTCACTCTCATAGGCAAAGCCAGGTAATGACCTGCAGCCTGGATCGTTCATGCAGCTCAGGAGCCCCTGTCACCTCATCCGATGGAGACCATCATTGCTAGTAATCGGTTTGGTGCACGATGGTCTGGGTTTCGTTTTTCCTGGAATGTATTCATGGTGGCTTTTAAATAGATCATTGCCCTTAGTAAATGAAATTAAACTAGAAAAACTCTGGTAAAGCAAAAAGAAGTACTTTACTGAGAAACCTTAAAATGGGACTGAGAGACCGCTCAGGTTTGGGCAATTTGTGAATCCTCATGAAATCACCATCTGCTCTACAATTGCTTCAATCACGAGGTGTGTTTTTTTAAGCTCTTCCCTGCCTTCCTAAATATTTCTGGTTGCTGTGATAATTCATGTGACTTGGATCAAACTGTGCATGTTTTTAATATAATTAGGAATAAAGATGAGAATTAATAACATTCTGAGATCATTGAATAGTGATGAGATTACCTTTAGAGTTCCTTTTTATTTATTTGTCTTTTGATTGAAGTCTCCTTGATGTACAACGTTGTGCTGGTCTCTGATTCAGTTACACACACGCATATACGTCTGTATATACAGAGAGAGTTCCTTTTTAAATTCTGATTTGTTTTATGACAGAGCAAAAGTGAAAGTCTCCCTCTCCCCCATGTTGCCTTCTAGAAATGGCCGAGCAGGAGCGCTTCCTGCTGCACCAGGAGACGCTGCCTGAGCAGCTGCTGGCGGAGAAGCAGCTGAGCCTGAGCGCCATGCCCGTGCTCAGCGCGCCGGAGCTCATCAGCGTACGTGCTCTTCAGATCCTTGCGCCGTTTCCCGGTCTCAAAGCAGCCACAGTGCTTCTTGGGCCACGTGGTACAGCTCCTAGAGTAGTCATCTTTCCATTTCCTCTTCTCCGATGACTTTCCCCTAGAATGGGTTGTTAGAAGCCGCTTGGGGGCAGGATGCCGGGTAGCAGAGAGCAGTGGATCAGCCGCTGCCTCCCCGTAAGTCCCCGCCTGCTCCTGACGGTGCTTATCCCCGTGACTCGAGGAACCTACTTGTGCTTTACATACGTAGGACGGATACGTACTGTGAGACATATTTCAAGTTCTTCTAAAAGAAAATGATCTTAAGAACTGGGTTTACAGAGCCTGTAAGTGCCATCCTCACCATTTTCCTCTGCAGATTCCTAAGGACATAGCTAGATTATGGTGATTCAGTTATACACGTGCATGTGTGTATGGAAATAAGAGTGTTCTTTTTTAAATTCAAACTCGTTTATCTGCAGCCCAGATAAGATGATTTTGTTGTTATGCGTACTTGTAGCCTTAACTCTGTTTCTCTCTTTTCCTTTCAAGAAAGCATTTCAAATGCAAGGGTGATGTCATAGGATCAGCTTGAATTTACTCCAACTGTATTAATGAGAAAGCAAACAAAAAATAAATAAAACAGTAAAAATTAAAAAAGAAAAAAGGAAGCAAACAATTAAACTTCAGTATTTTAGCCATTGTTTGTGACAGATTTCCTATAATCTCACAGCAGCCTCTCCTGATTTAGGATATTTAATTAAAAAATCTAAGAGGCTTGTAAGACTCACCACTACTGGTAAGAAAAAGAAATGGTGCCAGTTTTACTGGTACACCATCAATTTTAATACCACATTCCAGTTTCAGGGATGTTAATGCTGTGGAGAAAAAAGGATGTTCAGAAACAATGAAATAAAGTATTGTTAAGTGTTATAAAACAAGGACATGCAGATAGCGTTTTTTTTTTCTGAAATGGTTTGAGTAGTGTTTTTGATGTTAAAGGATTATGTACAGTGTTTACAAATGAAATTTGTTATGCTATAAATAGTTTTTGGGAAAAAATAGGAAAATTCAAATTGATATTTTTAATAAGGTAAACATTTTTCTGATTATAAAACTACTAGAAATTTATGATTATATAGTCAGCTATGAGCTAGCCAACCACTGGTAACTGTCGGTAACATATTGGTGTCTGTTTTCTTACCTTTTAATTAAACTATAGACCAACTGCAGGCTTCATCATAGGTCTCAATTTTTTAATTGCCTTTCAGGGCAACATTTCAAAAGCATTATATCCAGCTTAAAAATGCAAGGGCAGCAGTTTATTGCATAGTATGCTCAAAAGAACACTGAAATGTGTGTTATCTTGAACTTAAGAATATAAATTTACTGACGTTTAAGAAGTATATACACAGAGTTATACAAATGAATTACTGAGTGAACATAGGCACGTTTTAAATGACAGTTTATTGTGAGGTAGACAGTGTAATTTCCAAATGTGACACTGTTCTTTACTATAAAAATATCTACCACTTACTTGAAAGACATAATGACTTCTCTGTAAATCTCTCTAGTCTTGGTTATTTGATTACTTGAAATGATCCTCGACCTTATTTTAACTTGCCACAGCTATACATCTGTGAAGAAAACAGAAGAGCTAATGAATATGATTTTAAGAAAGCTTTGGACTTGCTGGAGTATATTGGTGAGGTAAGTAAAATCACTTGATTGCAGGCAGGTAACACAATTTGTGTATGGTTTTCTATAGAACCGAATACAGTTTGAAAATGTGTTATAAAAGACTCTCTGGTTCAGCTGCCCATACTCTGGGAATACCTACAGCTCTTTACAAAAGCTGCAAGGAGATCTCACTTCCTGATAATTCTCACACATTTCCGGGTGCCTTTTTCCCTGCACAAGTAAAAAATGCTGCTTTTCAAAGTCCTGACATTTTTTTCTCTTTTGTTTATTGAGTAATGACTCAATAGTTAGTTCTTCAGACTGATATGTCGCTCTGTTGATTTATTCTTCATAGTACTCGCCCTAAGAGAAACTATTTCTCAGCCTTCTAAAAAAAAAAAAGATTATAATGATAATTCTGTAGGGCAAGTAGTCAGCCTGCAATTGAAAGCAGTTTGGTGGATTATAAAAACATAACGTGTTGGCTTTTATGTTACTTTGTTTCAAATCTTGAGTCTCTGAAGCTTCCTGATAAAATCAGATCATCTTAGAATAATCAGAAATAAATTTGCACAACGTTGTTAATAGTCTTACTCTTATGAATAGTATTAACATCTTAGGCAGAATTAGGAATTGACATAACTCAAATTAAAACATGTATTTTTTAAAATCAGAATTTAATGAGGATTTTGTTTTGTTTTGCTGTGAAGGAGGAAGATGTAAATATAAATGACCTAAAACTGGAAATCCTTTGCAAAGCTCTTCAGAGAGATAAGTAAGTTCTCATAGCATGAATCGAAGATGCAGTCTTGGAAAGGGCTCTTTAGGAAGACTATGATATCCTGCATCAAATGGTTTTGTAACCTAATTGTATTGTCACGTATGTTATGAGAATGTTATTGGTTGCACTGGTAATCCTAATTTTTATTCAGTAATCAAGGAATTGCTTAAGGATTTAGGACCACTGGTATAATAAGTCTTTACTTTTGATCTTAAAATGTAGACTGTCAGTCTGCATGAAAGTAAAATGTTCCTTATTTTTGCAAAACTTAGGCCACTTCTGCCAAGCAAGACTTTTGAGGCTAGATTTCTTTTTAAATAAAAAGTGGTTATCATTTGAGAATCACTACCCTCTTCAAAGTTGTTGCTTCCTCTTTTTCACTGTAACCTCCCTGCAGGGGAGGATTTCTGTCCACTGAAATGATGCTGTCAGATTCAGTGGCAAAGAAAGACTGCGAATAATCAGTGGTAGGGATGGACTTTCCTGGGAAGATAGTTTTAAAGAGAGCAAGACTTGAGTGCTAAAGGCCTTCTCTACTCACAGTTTTTCTTTTCCTATAATGTTGAGAAATTACAGTAGAAACTATTTTTACTAAAGTATTTCCTCCTCTGGTCACTCCCAAACAGTTAAAGTTGTTGTGAAATCTGGTCTTGGAAGTCATCCTCTGAAGCATCTCACTCTGCCTGTTTGATTCACCTTCCCGGTCATAAAACATGTGTTAGGTCACTAGACTGTAATTCCTTGTTTTGGCTTCTTGTTTAAAAACTTCAGAGTTCCATGTAGGATATATCCATTTATTCCTGCAAAGCAGTGTTTCTGTGTGTGTGTATTTCAATAGTACATAATCTCAACTAGATAAAGAAAACTTCTAAATGTTACACCAGACACTAGTTGCCATTTTACTTTTATGAAAAATAGAATGTAACATATTCTAGCTACTGCCTGTGCTCTGGAAAATCATACTTTAGGCTCTTTACTAGGTTTGTTAACTTACTTACAGAATTTTCTTGGGAAAGATACCTCACTTCTTGGTTTTGACATCCCATACATGCTGGTTATATCGGGTGAAGAGCTACCTGAGTGTAGCATCTTATATCTGATATAAGACTGGATGTGCCCAACATTTAAAGCTCCTTTATTTAAATAATTTGCAACAGTATTACAAAACTCAAGATTCTTCCCCCTTCCCACCAAACATCAAACAAATCCACATTAGCCACATTAGCAAACCAGTTGTTTATTTCAGATTGTGTCCATGATTTCATTTTATCCTCACAGTGATTTTGTTTTCTAGCTGGTCCAGTTCAGATGGTAAAGATGATCCAATTGAGGTATCGAAAGACAGTATATTTGTGAAAATCTTACAGAAGCTTTTAAAGGATGGTAAGTGGTTTGTTAATATTGGAAATTACAGTATCACTCCTCAGTTTTAGAGTCTCAGAATAATGGGGATTTGCCCGGGTGTCAAATGCCAGGGGGCTTAGGGTTAAACGATGTGGCAGTTAGAGAGATTTGTGTAAAATAAAGGAAGGGCTTTTTCTTCCCTCTCCAACCCAGGGAGCTTTTATCATGGTGGTGTCCCGTCCACTAGGGTCCTGGGTGACTGTAGTGAGCAAAGTCTCCATGCTAATTCAGGATGGACGAGGAACGGTTACAAATGTTGGCACGACTCCAAAAATCTGTACTGAGAGAAGTAATCATTTCCTTTCATTTTTCAATTTGTGAAGATTTGAAACTTATGAAACTCTTGTGAAGATTTGAAAACTTGAAATGAGATATAAACTTTTTTTTTGATATATCGTGTGCTAAACTTGACCATACTGTGCTTAAGAACAAATTACAAAGTGTTTTTACCAATCCATTTTGGACGTTAACACTCTAAGGTTAGTTTTAAGAACAAAATAAAAGGAAACAAGAAGGGAATATGTTTCATATGTTTTATACCTAAGACAGTGAGCAAAATTCCATTTGCTGATCAAGATGCAAACAGGTAAAGAAACTTATGGCTAAATGTATGCTATGAAAGTAAAGGGTGAATTAGAGGATACTTAACTTTGACTTCCTTTCATATTATTGGAGCTTAATACATGAAGAATGATAGACTAGAGATGAGAGGTTTTGTACATTTTATACATAAAGACAACTGTGACTCATATTGTAGAGTTATTAAATCAGAATATATGATGCTAAATCCAGGCAGTGTGCAAAATAAGCTAACTTAGTTTTTATCAATCTTTTCAAATATAAGGACAATCTCTTTAATAACAACTGGAAAAAAACACATAATGACAAAAAACGTATAAATTCAGCAGCCTTTCTAGATGGATGTGAAATTTATTCATAATGCTGACATTGACACACATTTGGAAATTTTCTGTAATGTATCTGCAAGATACATCATTTAATCTGCATAAAACATGCCCAACCCAGCGCCTGGCACGTAGCAGTCACTTAGTAAACATTTGTTCTCTTAATGCCTAGAATTATTTTACAGATTCACAGCCCCAGGTCTTCTGTACCAGATTCCACCCTGCAGTCCTCCATTTGAGGGTCACTGACTTAACTGAGTGAAACGAGGGGGGACCTCTGAGCGGGACTGGAACTAACCGCACCGACCAACGTTGTGAGGCGAAAGGGATGCAGACCCTCTCAGTGTTTCTGCGCCAGAAGCTGTCACTTTAGATGGAGCCTTTCTGCCTTGACCTCCTAGCATTACTTCTCAGATTTTCTGTCTCCTTTTGTAACTGATCAAATGTAAATGCAATTCTGTAACTTGGAACTTCCTCAGAATTGACCTGGTTTTTTATTTATGAAGAATGCATACTTGATTACCTCACACTGTCAGCAGGTTTAGTGGAGTGCTTTTATTTTCAGAGATGAACAAATAACACAAAGGCCTTTTCATTGTCAAAAAATAAATAAAAATTAAATAATGGAGGAAGGGATGTAGCTAAGAAAATATCTTTTGCTTGAAATGCTTGAAATTCAGAAGGAGTTATGATATATCTACGAGGCTTTCTCTTTTTTATATTTGGAATTGAAGAAATAACTGGATATGGTCAGTTTCTCTGTAGTTGGAGAGATTCTCCGGTTACGCCTGCTAGGTTATTAGAAAACGTTTGGACCCAGATCTGATGCTTTCCATGAAGTGAGTTCTTGTGAAAGTGCTCCTGAGCTGAACTGTGGCTGATCAGGTGTTTGGTGCTGTTTAAAGGTGGCTTTGCAGCTTTGGCTATTTTTAGATCATAAATCATAGATAGAAAACAGAAATAGAAAGCTGTAATCTTACAAAAAGAATTATTAAATTTTGACCAAAGGACAAAAACAAGTGGAAACTATTATTAAAGTTATGTATAGTAATATGATATATTACAGTATGTATAATAATATTTTATATATAAGAACAAGCCAAAGACATTTATTTTTGGAAGCTTTTAATAATATATGGCTTTCATGTACAATAGTAAATGTTTTTAAAGGACAGATTCCGAAGGAAGATAATAGAGAGCCTCACGTTGTATTTCATAGACTTGGACAGCCCAGCAATTACTCCAGCCTGTGGAATGGATTTAGCCTGCCGAAATATTTAACTTACCCACCTGGAGCTTTTCAGTTTTTGCACGTTACTGAATTACATTATACATACAGGGAAAAAAAGCACATGTCATCTCATAGAGTTTAAACTTTTTTCTAATTAGTTGCTGGCATTTAATAGTTGAGAAGAGTTCTTAACAAAAGTCTTCTTTTCTTTTTTCTTTTTCCTTTTTAAAACTTTTTTTTTTGAGGTACAGCTGATTTATGATGTGTTTCTGGTGTACAGCATAGTCATTCAGTTTTACACACACACACACACACATTCTTTTTCATTATAGTTTATTACAAGATACTGGCTTTAGTTCCCTTTGCCATAATGTAGGACCTTGTTCTTTATAAAAGTCTTATTTTCTGACTTCTCAGAAAATCAAAAGATTCACCCACACGAGACTAAAATACAAACCCGGCAGCTGTCAGCCAGAGCTAATGAGCACTGTCCAATTTGAATGAGGCGCTGGTTCTGTTTACCTAAACCCGTAGGCCGCCTTTCTCGGGGGACCTGCCAGACCTTTGCAGGCACTCGAGTTACCACCCCTGCTCTAAGAAGAAGCAATAAACCATCAAACATTAGTTCTAAATAGGAGGCATGCCCTGTGAAAATAGGAGACAAATAAAATGATTTGTTTTGTTTTGTTTCTTTTAGAGAATTGATCTTTAGGAAATTAATGTGGTATTTGCACAAGTGTAATACTGTTTTACAGAGAAAAAGTCTTTACTGAAAGTATGTTAATTGTAACAAATATTGCAGACTTAGGCTCATAACATTTATTAACCCAGATTTTTATTATAGAACAGTTAAGTACCAAAAATGGTGCTGGGCACTTTGAAGGTATTGAAAAAAATAAAACAGTATTTGATTTTGAGAACCTTACAGTAAAGTAATAAATTATAAAATGTTGCCATAATTTGATTTTGAGAACCTTATAGTAAAGTAACAAATTATAAAATGTTGCCATATTAATTTAAAATTTTTCCTCCAGTTTTATTTATCAAATGAGATTGTACATACTGTTCTGTAACCACACAGATGCTCGTTGGCTTTCCAGCTCAGTGGAGACTGAAGACATGCTGCTTCCAGCTATGTAATTAGAGTTAAACTGTAACACATTTGGAGGTCCCCGTAGCCAGCTTCCATGACAGTATGCCTACTAAGTTATTTCCCAAATAGGTGAATATGTAATTGTCTGAAATACTTGTTTTCAAGTTATGATTTCAGTTCTGCACTGAAGGAATGACTTAAGCTGTGGAGAAAAATGAAAATATTTCAGATCTTATTAAAGACTTTAAGCAGATTGACTGTTTTGACCACTAGACAGAAAAACACTCAGGCAACCTCTTCAAAGTGAAGAATGTCATATTGTCAGACCTGCAAGTGTGTCTGACAGGTGGGAGGAATTTAGAACAGAGCATTTCCCAACAGCAGAGTGACATTATAATTTAAATAGAAGCACAGGTGTTTTTATCATCAGTCATCTGTAATTCACTTCAGTTATGTCAAAATAAAAAATACCTTTCTGTGTTTGTGTTTGTAGGCATTCAGCTCAGCGAATACCTGCCAGAGGTGAAGGACCTGCTACAGGCAGACCAGCTGGGGAGCTTAAAGTCCAGCCCTTACTTTGAGTTTGTGTTGAAAGCCACTTATGAATATTATGTCCAAGGGCAAATGTAACTTTTTCTAAAAGTGGTCATTGTTCCCGAAAATTTGTATAAGCATGTCTCCTTACAAAACATTTTAGACCTGAAACGTCTGGAAGTTTGTACAGTTTTATAACTTGCATTACTGAGGGTTTCTTACACTTTATTTGGAAGCTACTACAAAATAGTTATGTGACGATAGTTTTGGTTTTCAGTCACATGATTTTTTTTTCTCCCTTTTTCCATCTGAAATTTATCAGTTGTCTGCATACTTGCTACCCTTCCTTTTTTATCTCGCTCCGTCCGGGGCCCTGGAGCTCTTGTCCTGGCTCTGGCCACTCGTCTGTACAGCTTACTGCTAGGCTTCAGCTTCTGTAACTCTAAAAATGACAAGATCGCACTGAATTGTCTGTGGAGTTGCTGCGTCTCTGGATATTATGCATCGGAGAGTCCATGGAATATTTGGTATCCTGGTTAGGGCTAGTGGGAAATGCCTAGTGAGGTAAGTGTCAAATTTTGCGAACTTGCGGAATGGAAAGGCAGAGCAGCCTGATTCACTGTGAGCTTGATAACTGGTTAGTCTGTTGGGGAAAATGTCAAAACTTTTCTATGTAAATAATCGAATATTAAAGTATTTTGGTGAATAAAACATATTAATGTGGCTTTCTAACCTGTCTATAAGTTACCACACAATAGGTTACAATCTTTCAGTGTTCAGTGTGGGGACTCAGTCAGCTTCATGGATTCTCCAGATGGTTGACACTGAATTCCCACCTTGCCACAGTCTGTCTAGCTAATCTAAGGTGTGTGTAATGCTAGAAACCATTGTAGGTTTTTTTTTTTTAATAAAGCAGCTGATTTAATTGAAAACCAGTGGTTCTCAATGCTTCTGTGTCCGGACCTATGTCGTCCTCAGTTTTTATCCGGCTTTAAATAAAGGCGGGGTTGCTGGCATGTTCAGACTTTGGCCCAGTTGAATGCTCACTAAACAGCTTGCTCTGACAGCTGAAAAGGTCAGAAGTTAAATACGGTGAAGAGAGTCCGGTTCCTGGCTTCACGAAGTACAGCCATCATGCCTTCTCCCCTCAGGCTTCACGTCCTGCTGCTGAGAGGTTTGGAGCTGTCTGCATCACTGTCCGAAGGAAGGAAAGGGGCAGCCTGGTCTTCCCATGTCTGCAGCGTGTGCTGTCAGGACAGCGTCAGGGTCCCGGTTAGGAATACACTGAAGGGCACTGAGAGAAGTTAGGAAGAGGAACTTGTCAGATGGGGTACGAAATTGTTGGATTCTTGGTAGAAGATGAGGCTTTGGTTTTACAGAGACATACAGGTCTCATCTGTGAGATCCTGCAGAGGACAGTGCGCTCTGGGGACACAGGATCCTGCCACCGTCACTTGCTGCCACAAACGCGGTTACCCCTGGTGCGACCAAGGCCAGTCCCATGACAACCCTGGCCACAGAGCACGTGGATGTAAAACAGCTGCTCTCACACCATAACAGCATTGTCTCATTTTGAGGGAGAAAAAGGCCCTCTGTCCTGCCTCTGTCCCTCAGAGGTGGTAGCCATGGTACCGAAAGGGTTGGGTTTTTCAAAAAGTAGTTTAACAGTAATTGTGAAATTAAGGCCTAAGATTTTGAATAATATTTTTCTTCTGAAGTTTGAAATTTTGCTCCACAACATAGTCTATCAAAGAATTGCTGATTTTTATATAAATTGAGTCGTTGATAATGTGTTAAAAAGGTGCTATAAAGGCGAGCATGTTTTCTAAGGAAAGAGAAACTTCACTGACGTGGAAAAGGTTTTCTTCACTCCTGTCTGAATGCTGCTGGGAAGCCCCAGCTCGCGTCAGTCATTAAATCGAACAGCAAGGCGGTGGTTTTGACCTTGAGGGGCGGGCTTTGTGATCTGGTGTGTTTCAGGAGTTTGTGAGAAGTGTCAAGGATTGAGACAGAACTTGGGAAACACAGCGAGAGGCTTGCTGAAATCCTTGGTGAGGAGAGGGCAGCTGGCACCCTCTGTTTCAGAGATTTTGTTTTTAAAGAAAACCTTAAACCTTGGGTTTGCTGCTTTTCTCGCTTTGGGGTCTGAGTTACGGGTTTCTTAAAGCATCACCCGCCAAGCGTCCGGTCTGTGCGAACTCGTGTGCGGCACGGCCCTCCTACGAGGTGGCTTGAGCCGAAGGGGAGCCCCTCCGGGGTGCCGTCCGCCTCGCTTCCCGCACGCTTGCGTGTTTTGAGGCTGATCACGACAGAAATACTAGTGGAGCCCCGCCTCCCTGTTCCTGGGCATTTTACTCAAGGAATGCCTCTAGAGAAAACAGCCTTATATATTTCTATATAAAACCCACTCATTAGATTCCAAAGTACATTTTTAAATATATAATCTTGTGTAATTCCAAAATTTTAAAAATACTGTAGGAAGTGTGAAAACTAATTTTTTTAAAAGTATATAAAAGAAAATAAACCCTTGTAATCCATTAGCCAGAAATAATTTCAGTTACCATTTTGAAACACATCCTAGAATGTTTCAGACTGTGCATACTGGTACATTTTGTAACCTACTTACTTTGATGTGAGATATTGTGAGTACGTCTGTGTATCTTTAATCCACTATTTCCGGACCTTTTTCATTATCACTCCTAAGGAGACTTTCTAGACAGCTTAAAAAAAAATCACTCTGCTCCCTTCATGCCACCATGGAAGTTTAATACCACAGATAAATACTGCATATCTCGATTTACCACAGCCTCTGGAGGCCACAGATCATCGTAATATCTAAGGGTTTTTTAACCCCCAAAGGACCAAATTTCCCCCAGAGAAGGCGTGTCTTCAGTATTCTTCACGATAAAAGATTTTAATGACTGCATGACACCTTCCCAAATGGCTATATCATTTATTTAACAGGTGTCTGTCTATCTCTCTTTCTCTCTGCCTCTCTCTCTCTTCTTAACAATCTTAAAACACTTGGGTTAATATTTTTGGGTTGTGTTGTGTTTTTTTTATCATTTTAAATAATACTGGAATAAATCTTTGTACAAAAATCTGTGTGTGTTCCAGACACGTGTAAAATTGCATCGCTCTTCCTGTTCAGTTAGCGATGACGTTGGTAGGTGCTCAGTGAACAGGGCTAATGATTTCTCGTGTCCTTTGCTCACCTCTCCCACCCCCTCATCCCTCCCACCTCCTCCAAACACTCTGTATTTCTTCTGTACCTCTTACTGAGTGTGTAAGACACACCTGCCTAGTTTCAGCCTTCGAGTCAGTCGTACAGCGTCCGTGGTGTCCTCAGCGGAGAAGGCGGCGTCTCAGGAGGTGAGCCGCCCAGGGTCCCGTGGCCAGGCGGAGGGGCAGGCGCTCCAGGTGCGCTCTCCTCCCAGGCGCACGCTTGTCACTAGTTCATTGTACCGGGTGTACGGAGGTGGCGGGAGGAGAGGGAGCGGCTCTGGTGGCATCATTAGGCCCTTAGAGAGGCCCAGAGCTGAGTGAGCCCCAGGGGGAGGAGAGCGAAGCCCTCTGCCTGACCGCCGTGTGCCACTGGACGTTTTCAGATGTGTGGCTTGTGAGGAAAGTGAGTTTCGTTTTCTCATTTACCCACCTGGTCACTGGTGTGTTTCTGACTCTGTTGCCACTCAGCCCCCCTCACTGTTCTTTTTGAGACGACGGTGACAGTGGCGAGTGAAGTCATGACTTCATTTAAGATGTCTTTGGCCGTTTTTTGGAAAAGATCCTTCGAGGATCTGTTATGTTCCAGAACGTACCAAGTGTTGGGGAAGATTAAAGGGAGATAGAAAGCAGTCCTCACCCCTCCCCAGGGCCACGAAGGGTCCCCCAAGCCCCTGTGTGTCCCCCAGTTGCTGGGGGGCCTGGGACGTGCTGCCTGCCTCATCGAGTCTTGGTTTTCTTACTCTTAAAGCTGGAATGAATAGTACTTAGCTCATCTACCCCAAGACATTACAGGATTAATGGGAACAACACAAAAGCATAGAAGGTGTTTTCCAAATTCACGTCTAAACAGGCAGAGAAGGCTTAGCCTGCAAGACTGGGGTACACAGATATGCGAGGAACAAGAGGGGGCAAGGCTGGAGGGGGTGGGTGTGAGCCCGATGGCTGGCTTGTAGGTGAAGGAAGGCCCTGTGAGAGTATCCGGAGCTGAGGCCGCACCTGAAAACTTAGAAGCAGGAGCTGTCTGCCGCGCATACCGTACAAGGCTGGCCTTTGCTCTGGTAGTTCTCAAAAGGCCATGCAGGCAGTGGCCCGCTTACTCGGCGTACATGTATGGACACGGCTTCCCACCTGCTCCTGAGGTCTGCTCCCAAGCCAATGAGAGCTCAACAGGACCAGAGAGGGACTGGGAGGCGCCCCCGGCGACCCATCAGGGCCTATTTAAACCAACCAGACCAGGGCAGAGAGCAGCCCGGCGCTCCCAGGCGGGGCCCACCTGTACCAGCAGGTCTCTGCCAGCCTGCAAGTGTTTTAGTCATAGTTTTTAACATATGTTTGAATCTAATAGGCTCAGCTTAGAAAAGCTTGCTGTAGGAGAGAGAAGAGTGGCCCTGAGCAAGAGTTTTGGAAAACAGTGATAACCTCATTCTCTAAAATGTCAGTAAATGCATAAGTGCTCAGGAAATGACAGCATCCTGTGTCCTGCCTTCAAGACCCAGATGCAGGCTGCTCCCCTTGTACATATTGTGCGCTTGCCAGGTTATTTTTCCCTAGTGTCTCACTCCCCACTGACACAGAAGGACACAAGGCCTTGAAAATGAAATGTAGTAGTCTTGTCAGTTATTCTCTCATTCTCTAACTGAAAACGCTGAGCATGAAACCACAGTAGCTTTACACTCACCACACAGGCCCTGTGTTAACCGAACTCCTTATTTTGTAATTGACTTATGAATTTTAGGAAGGGTGGTGTTGATGTGGGCTCTTCGGAAGAGGGTTCCATATCCTTTTTTCTTTTGTTTTTTTTTTGGGGGGGGGGTTAGGTTTGTTTGTTTAAGTGGAGGGACCGGGGGTTGGACTCAGGACTTGTGCCTGTTAGGCACACTGCCACTGAGCTGTACCCTCCCCTCATTTCATATACTTTTATATCCTTCCTCAGAGGACCCGCACCTGTCCGGGTTGCTGAGTCCCCCCACCAAATGTGAATGGGAATTATTTTGGGAACACTTAAGCACATCAGAAAAATGAGTGGTTCGATTCTGGCTCTCACCACATCACTGATGTACCCCTTTCAAGCATGTCACTGAGTTCATCACAGAAAATTTTCTCCTTGTGTCTTCCACAGCAAGGTTAGGACTCTTCCTGTCCCGAGGGGTAAAAAAAAAAGTCAAGAGGCACCAACTGGATAACCTCTTTTGACCCCCCGCTCCACCTTACCATAAGTAGTTGCAGCCCTTCTAGAAAATTAGAAAGGCATGGCCCATATATCAGCGGTATAAATAGAACCGCTTCAGCGGTGCCGGCGGCCGGTGACTCTCCAAGGTGGACTGGGAAGCAGCCTGGCCTTGGCTGGGCATCATCCTCTAAATATAAAGATGAGTCTGTTCAGCCCTTGCAGAAGGAAAAATGCTACCCATCCTACAGTGCGACCTCCTGTCCGCTTCGTCGGGAGGAAAGACTAACGCGGCTTCATCTAGTCAAATCACCTCACCCGTCCCCACCTCCCTGTCCTAGGGTGTGCCCCTTACCTTGCAGCCCCCGCAGAGGCACACTTAGCCCCACCAAGGATGTGGGGGCTAGGGCGCTCACCTCGGCCCCCGCGCCCCGGAGCCGGCCGGTCACCCCCCGAAATTCACGCCCTTCACGATCCCCCGAGCGCACTGTGCGTCCCCATGCGGACAGCTCCGGGTGCCTGGCTTTGTGCCCGGCGCTGCCAGAGCCGTCGCCTCGGCCTGTCCCCGGGAGCCCCGCGCCTCCTCCCCGCCGCTCCGCCCTCGCCTCCCGCCGCCAGTTGTCT